GAGCGGCTGCGGGCGGGCAGCCGCTGCGACGGCGGGCTGCGGGCCTGCGGGGCGTGCGCGAGCGGCAGCGGCTGCTGGCCTGCGGCGCACTAGCGGTAGCGGGCGACTCGCGGGCGGCGGCTGCAAAGGCGCACGGGCGGCAGCGGCTTATGCGCACGGGCAGCAGCGCCGACAGCGCACGGGCGGCTGCAGCAGCGAGCGGTGCGCAAGCAGCAGCGGCAGCAGCGCACAGGTGGCAGCGGCGTCGGTGCACGGGCGGCAGCGGCGTCGGCGGACGGGCGGCTGCGGGCAACGGGCGTGCGGCAGCTGCGGCGGCGAGCTGCGGGCCTGCGGGGCCACGGCGGGGTGCGCGCGAGCGGGCGACGGGCGGCTGCAGCAGCGGGCGCGTCAGCGAGGCGCACGAGCAGCGCGCGGGCAGCGTGCGGGGCCGCGCGTAAAGAAAAACAGCCGCGCGCGTGCGGCTAGCGGGGCGCGCGCAGCGAAATCGACCGCGCGCGGGCGGGTAGCGGGATACGCGCGCTAAAAAAAAAGAAATCGAGTCGCGCGCGGGCGGCTGGCGGGCTGCGCGCGCGCGGTAGGTAGGAGGCGCACGAGGGCGCGTAGGCGCACGAGGCGCACAGTAGGTAGGTAGGTAACGGTGGGCCCTAAGAACGGTCCTAGCGAAGGACCTGCTCTGAAACCATGTCAGTAATAACGGACTGGAATGGCTGTACTAACAGAAGGATGGATACAAATAGGAAACCCTAATCCAGTGTACCCCCTAAGGTATCACCCACTACTGCCTACAATCATATAAACATATAATGTTCGACATCCACCCGTTCTCGTGGCAGGCGACGACGACATCTGCACAATGATACACAGGCAGGGTGGTTAGCGACGATTTAGTAAAGCAACGAATCAACCCATTTAAAGTGCAATTTCTTACCGAGCGGGAAATCTCCCTTCGGCACTGTCTTGCGCTTGAAAAAAACCCACGGTTTGAGTTTCTCCCCATCCGCCGTGCACGCCAGCATCACGGTGACGCGCTCCTTCTGGTATCCCGCACTCCGGATGGGCACCGACCGCACGCCTGTCTGTTCCACGGTGGTGGTGGCGGGCATCTCCAGCCACAGCGGCGTCTGGTCGGCGTTGATGATCCACGTAGTCTCGATGCCGCGCTCACGCCGCCTATCACGCACGTACTGCCAAAACTTGCGGCACATCTCCGCGACATCTGTAAAAAAACGAGGCAAATAAAGAAGATGCGTCAGTATACATGAACTGGAACGACCCACAGGCTTGATACACGGTTAAGACTTACGGGCTGCAGTTTTCTGGGCGACGCGCGTCTTCATGCGGACGCTCAGATTCCACCGCTTCCGAAACCGTTCCGACCACCGCTGGCTGCCCTTCCACTTCACAAGCGGGTAGAGCAGCTTCATGAACTCGTGCGACCACTCCTGCAGACGGCCGACGGAGACTGCTGTTCCCTTGCGGCGCCACTCCAGTAGCTTTTCGTACACCTTCAGCTCCATCGGGCGGTACCATGAAGACCTCCCGCGGCCGTGCATGCGCTTCCGTGCGGCGTGCACCTCCTTGAGGAAATCGGCGGCGCGCTTCCACTCCGTGAAACACTTTCGGTGGATGCCGCTTTCTCGAGACAAGGAGCGCACCGACACCCCCACATCCAGCCGCGCGACCCACTGCAGTTTTTCTTGCGCAGTATAAGCTTGACGCTTATGCTGGTTGACTTTGTTCCTGGGAGAGGGGGGGCGGGCATCACGATTCTCAGCAGAAGGGTGAGGTCGCTTGCGGTTAACAGGAGGGAAAGTCGGAATCGGGAGTTTCTCAGGGAGCCCATCGCGAGACCAGTATTCGACGCCGTCGTCGTCGGCGGCGCCTGGTTCACCCTCGGGAAACACATCGGCCGCGGTGCCAGCCTCGGTTTCGGCCTCCGTGCCATCCTCGGCACCGTTGTCGCCCTCGGCACGACCTTCTTCCGCGGCGTCAGCCACATCGTCGTCGGCGCCGACGGCAGATTCGTCCCACGTGCATTCTTCGGGCGCGCCCCATCTTGGTGCAGGTGCCGGAGCCCGTACATACACGTCTGGACCCTTGTTATTGTCCGGTTCAGACAGGTACTCGTCGAAGGCGGACGGGAGCAAGAGCGTAAGCACGGGATGATTCCCAGGCGGTTGTGGGAACGCCTGATACGGAGGAGCAGGAGGAGCGGGAGGAGCGGGAGGAGCTGTCAGAATGTTATTAGTGTCTAGCCTGTAGTGGGGTGCTCTATAGCGAGTACAACCCAGTTAGGGTTTGCTATATGTACCCCAACTGCTGCTAGTGAAACCTCTCTCCTTTCAATCATTCTTGCCTAGTTCTGTTAACATGGTATCAGAGCAGGTCGACCCTCCTGGGTCGATCCTGTGGGTGGGCCCACCACCTAATGCTTCCGCTGCTTTACTTCCTGCCGGGCGCCTCGGGCGCGCGACGACTTCTTCCTGCCGCGCGCGGCGAATTTTTTCTAGTGTTTCGGCGGTTTTCATCCCGCCGTGCGCTCGGGGCGCGCGGCGGTTTTCTGCACGCCGTGCGCCCCGAGGCGCGCGGCGGTTTCCCACCGTCGAAGTGCCCCCCGTCGCCCGTCGAAGCGCCCTCCCCCCGTCGCCCGTCGAAGCGCCCCCGTCGCCCGTCGGAGCGCCCCCCGTCGCCCGCCAAAACGCCCCCGTCGCCCGTCGAAGCGCCCCTGGGACCCGCGCGCGGCCCGTACGGGCTGCGCCAGGCCCGCGCGCGGCCCGTACGGGCTGCGCCAGGCCCGCGCGCGGCCCGTACAGCCCGCGCGCGGCCCGTACGGGCGGCGCCAGGCCCGCGCGCGGCCCGTACGGGCTGCGCCAGGCCAGCGCGCGGCGCGGGCAGCCTGCGCGCGCCTCGTCCGTCCCCCTCTCGCCGTCCCCCGCGCTCCTGCCCCTATCCCACCCGTTTTAGGGTTTGGGGATGTAGAGTGTGGGGGTGGCGGGTGTGGGGGTGCCGGTTGTGTGCCCCGTCCCCTCCTTCTCCTCCTCCTCCGTCTCCCGCTGCTGCAGCTGCCGCTCAGGGGGGTGGTTGTGTGGGGAGCCGAAGGAGTGGTCCTAGGGGGGTGAAGGGGGAGTGGAGCTAGGGGCGCAGCAGGGGGTGTGTGTCGAGGGGTGTGGGACGGTCGGGGGAGGTTGCGTGGAGGTAGCCGTCGTGACGCCAGCAGCGCCAGTAGTCCGGATGCCCTCGCGCGTTTCGGTAGCCCAGCGAGCCTGCTTCGCCAGTCGCCTGTGGGTCCGTTGCTCCTGTGTGTGCTCGTCGTAGCCGCGGAGCCAGATACTCCCGTAGTCCGGTGCCCTCGTGCGCTCGGTAGCCACTGTGCGCGCCGCTCCTGTTGCCCGTGTGTCTGCAGCTTCAGTCGGCGCCTTTCATCTTCTCGCCCTCACAGTTTCTCCTCCTCCTCACTTGCCCTCTATGATCACCTCTAGCTTTGCTTATAATTGTGAACTATTGCTATGCCTGCTCATTGTACTGATTACACCCCACTTTGGCTATGGGGGTGTGTTAGAATGTTATTATTGTCTAGCCTGTAGTGGGGTGCTCTATAGCGAGTACAACCCAGTTAGGGTTTGCTATATGTACCCCAACTGCTGCTAGTGAAACCCCTCTCCTTTCAATCATTCTTGCCTAGTTCTGTTGAGCCACAGGAGCGGGAGGCGCAGGAGGAGCAGGTGGCGCAGGAGGAGCAGGAGGCTGTGGTGGCGATGGTGGTTCTGGTGGGATACGTGTGTACCATCCGTCAGCGTCAACTGTGTAAGCGGGCCTAGGTTTTTTCTTGAAAAGGAAATGAGTGCCTGTGAATTCCGCCATGGCTTCCGCAGCCAGGCGGGCGTGAACAAGAAAGTGAATGGGAAACGCAAAGCATGAATGAAGAAATGAACGATTGAAGAGGACCCCTTCAGGAAAGCGCCTCGGGGTCCTCATCAATGAAAGACGAAAATCACCCTGCCTGAACCCGCAGAGGAGGGTTCATGGCACCAGACGTGCTGTGCTGGCAGGGCATATTCCACACCCTTCGAGAGGGTTCGGATGAGTTGTCCTGCCTGGCCGCGCATGACAACCCGATTGGGCCGCACGACAGCTTTTGTGTCAGCGCTGGCAGGTGCGCTGCACTGGGACGTGAAGTGTGCGGTGGGGAATCGAATCGCGGCGAATAGCGCGAGGATTCCATGCATGACCCCACGTGAACGGCACATCGTTGTGTTCGCCTTATTGCAAGCTTCATTTTGGTACCCTTACAAACAAATTTCATTTTTGCCATTATAAAGGCGCCGGCGCTTATGGCCGTTACTCGATTATAAGCGCACCCAAATAAAATCAAGATTTTATTATAAGCGCATCTGCGCTACTATCCGGGGTATGACGGTATATATTATATTCACCACAGGAGCATATGCATTGCATTTATGCACTTCTGTTTAATATTTAATTCATCATATCCATCATTATATTTCATCTATGCATAACATCATTCCGCATAGCATATGCATTATGGAATAAAAATTCACTCGTTCACAGTACCGGTAATATCATTTTGGCAATCCATACAGTCAGGGCAAACTAGGAAACGAGAAAGAATTTAGTATGGCATGTGCTAAAATGCCATGGCAAATACAGGAGTCAAACACTTAGCTCTCATTCGCTAGGTTTTTTAATTCATTATTTTTTTAGATGATGAAAAAAAATTGTACATAACGATTGTAATAGGTTGCTTCGCAACCCAAAAAACGGATGGAAGTGTCCATGTGATACCCCTCAGGCTGTTTAGGAACAAACTAAGAAATCTAAGATGAAAGGCTTTAGGGAAATGCCAACTGTTGGTGTGGGTATCCCAATGTGAATGCAATTTGCAAACCAAAACCCTGAATAAAAACAGGCATTCAATGACTGCTGCTCAGCTTTCTGCTCAGGGGGGTATTCCACAGCATACAGTGGTTCCATATTTCACACTAAACATTTTGTTGCGCTGGGAGCATGTGCATTGTATGCAAGTGGTGCGACAGCTCACCCACCACCCAGTGCTTCTCCGCATCGCTCAGTGTCTTGCCAAACCGGTACTCCTCCTGCTCCATCCCAACAAACATGCACACCAGCTCTGCCGGCTTAGCTGCTGAGCGCGTGAGAGGGGCAGGAGGAGGAGGGATGGGACTTTGGGCAGCGATGCTATGCACTGGCGGGGGTGGCAGCGGCTGTGGGGAGTTCAAGTTCTGCACCACAATGGCGCGCACCAGTAGTGTGCTGCCCTGCTTCCGCTTGGTCGAGCCAGAGCTTGAGGTGGTGATGGTGAAGATATCAGGCGACAGCACAATGGTCTCCGAGCGAGTTGCGGATTTGATCCATGCAAAGGAGCAGCTGAGAGGGGTGCGGCACGGTCGGGAGCAGCACGGGCGTGGAAGGTGGGAGGCAGAGAGGTGGGAGTGGGTATGCGAGCAGGTAGTGGAAGTTTGAGACAGGATACGAGGATGTGATGTGGGGCGTGCATGTGCGACATGCGGCAATAAGTGCGATGTGAGAAGCCATTGTGACATGCTTCACCCATTGTGACATGCTTCACCCATTGTGACATGCTTCAGCCTTTGTGACATGCTTCAGCCTTTGTGACATGCTTCAGCCTTTGTGACATGCTTCAGCTACCACACTAACATAAACAGCAAGGCACTCACGCAGCGTAGCCGCAGAGGATGCAGATGGTGAAGGGCAGGAAAATGGCGACTGCCACTGCGATCGCAATCTGTGAGGGCGGGGCGAGGTGAGAGGGCGGGGCGAGGTGAGAGGGCGGGGCGAGGTGAGAGGGCGGGGCGAGGTGAGAGGGCGCGCGGTGGAGCGGGATAAGGAGAGGTCGGATGAGAGGGAGGGTTGAGCAGGGGGGTGATTGGGCCCAAGAGGGGGGGAATGGAGAGAGGAGGGGGGCGGTGGCCGAAATACTTCCTTCCATTATGTTCGGTTGGAGGCTTTGATTGAGACTCTTGACCCTAATTGGTGGGGAAGAGAGAGAAGGTGGGAAGGGGGATGGGAGGGGCTCAGATGAGAAGGAAAAGGGGCTTGCATGGGAGCGTCGCATGGAAGGGGAGCGAGCGACAAGAAACGGAGAGAGGGGGTGGATCACAACAAGCGCAGTGAGGGGGATCACAACACGCGCAGTGAGGGGGATCACAACACGCGCAGTGAGGGGGATCACAACACGCGCAGTGAGGGGGATCACAACACGCGCAGTGAGGGGGATCACAACACGCGCAGTGAGGGGGATCACAACACGCGCAGTGAGGGGGATCACAACACGCGCAGTGAGGGGGATCACAACACGCGCAGTGAGGGGGATCACAACACGCGCAGTGAGGGGGATCACAACACGCGCAGTGAGGGGGATCACAACACGCGCAGTGAGGGGGATCACAACACGCGCAGTGAGGGGGATCACAACACGCGCAGTGAGGGGGATCACAACACGCGCAGTGAGGGGGATCACAACACGCGCAGTGAGGGGGTGGATCAGAACACGCGCAGTGAGGGGGTGGATCAGAACTCGCGCAGTGAGGGGATGGGGTTGTAAGCAAGGGCATGAGCAGTGGGCTTACGAGGAAGGGCGTGAGCAGGCAGAGGATCCACCCCACCGCGCCATCCGGGAAGAACCCCGCTGCGGGGATGCGCACCTCTAGCGCCCCGCCCTCCCCCTGTGAGATCACCTGCGCGCGGCGCAGCGGATGGGGGGAACATGAAAGCTGTTGAATCGCCGTCGCCGTGTGTGGGCGGCGCTATATGTGCTCCAGCCCTGAGAGCGCAGAATGGCTACGTGCGAACCGACACGCGACGCGGGCAATACGATGCGGAGACGAAAACACGGAAATTCCTCAACGAGGCTCCGATGCCCTATGGTCCAAGATTTAGTATCTAGTACCCACGCGCGGCGCACTGTGCTCCTAGAAATAGCGGCATGATCCCTGCTATGCAAAGAGAAACGCTGTGCGTACCACGCGGCTATTCTCGGGTTTCGCGCAACGAGCGGGCAACGGTGACGCCACGGGAGTGCCCATCACAGCGACTGGCGGTGCAGGTTGGGGGTATGGCGGAGCAGGTTGGGGATATGGCGGAGCAGGTCCGGGACAAGGCGGAGCATTTTGAGGATATGGCGGAACGGGTTGGGGATAAGGCGGAACAGGCCCGGGATAAGGCGGAACAGGTCCGGGATAAGGCGGAGGTCCGGGATAGGGTGGAACGGGTTGGGGATATGGCGGAACAGGTTGGGACGATGAAGCCGCCGCCGTTTGTGGGTCTCCTTGCGGCGCGCTCGGAAAGTCCGCTGTCATCGTGGCTCTCGTCAATCTCCCTCTTTCGACGTGCCGGACGGAAGCTCGTCTACAATGGTGGGAGGAAGAAGATGCGACGCGTAGGGGAAATGGTGGCTCACGAGATGTACGATATGGATAGGAATCGACTAGAACATTTACAGCGTCTGCTATGTGTAGGAGGAGGGGAGCGGAGAGGGAGGTGCGAGGAGGGGACGAAAGGGGGTTCGGGGGAAGAGGAAGGGGGAATGGGGGTGGTTTCGCCGCTTGCCACCTTTGCGCCATGCGCATGGGTCGCTCGCAATCGTACGGTATTTTCAACGTGCCGCAACACGCCATGCGAATCGCGATCTCACCGATGTGGTTGTCGTCGCCTTGCTGGCTCCGAAGACCAGGGAGCGGAGTTCTGGATAATTAATAGTATGCAGAACAGTGAGTGGGTGGAGTATGCAGCATGCTAGTTATCAAGGAAAACAGAATCAACTCTTACAATAGGAACATTTTCCTGGTAATCCATTTCTTCCCATTGCCATCCTGCGTGCACTTCCTTGAAATTGTTCAGCAGTAATCACGTGTATTTTGCAGAACCCTTATAGCACAATACCGCAGTATATACTGAGCAAGGTCTAGACTAAGACTACGTACTGTATGCTAGCTCAGGATTCGTAGAACGAACTTACCCCAACTGTTATCGCTGACAAACTAACTCGTCTCCTATGACCTGGCTTTGAATGCGTTACAGACTTGCTGCTGGCCATGCAAACCCCGGTGCTGGTAAGAGCCTCTGGCACAGAGCATTTGATTTGTTGTGTCCTTACATCTGCTTCCTTTGCATGTCGAAGCATGCTTCAAGGGCTTGCTCCTGCAGAAGGAACGGCTACACTGTCGGGAGTGGAAGTGTGTGGCACGTGTGGAACACTCTCACTTGCGGAACGGGGGAACCCTATCCTGCTTCCTGAGGCATGCAATGGAAATGATTGTTGCTGGCTGTGAGGAAGCACAAACGAGTGGCATCTGCTGCTGCCTGCTAAACCCTTCTTACTGCTGGGTGATATTGCTGCTCTTGTGCCAACCACAGGAAAATCCATCTCAGCACCTGATTGGTACCTCAGAAAGCCCTTCTCCCTCTGCGACTGCTGCTCGTGCCCATGTATTCGCTGGTTCATCTGTATCTTCCCCAGGTCCATCAGCGATTCGACGCTCTCCCTCTCGTCAGCACCGGTAAACGCCACATTCACCACTGCAGAATCGAGGCTCATTCGACTCCGATTCCTCAGAACGGCGCAAGGCGCATTCCCTGAATTCCCCTTGATAGCAGCACGAGGTCCCAACGCTGCTGCTTTGGGACTTAGAAGCAGCGGCTCAACTGATGTGCTTCCATGATTTGGGAGCATGTCAGCACAGCCGGGCGCACTGCCTTCATGCTCATCAGCAGCTGCCATACCGCACGTCTTATCGTTGGTGGTGGAAATGATATCGCCACCAGCCCATCGGAAACTGCTGCCACTGCCGCTCTGAGACGTGAACTTGGGGCTGCGTCCGTTGGCAGTCCCAACCTTTGGAAAAGAACTGCTGCTTGATCTGATGATACTGCTACAACCGTACCGAGTCCCATCCTTGGGGCTACAGCCGCTGCCGGACGGAGCCATGGAGAGGCACCCACTTCTTGATCTCGCAATGCTGCTACAGCCGCTGCCGGTCCCACCCGTGGGGCTCCGACCGCCGCCAGACCTAATGCTGCCACAGCTGCTGCCAGTCCCCACCCTAGGGCTACAACCGCTGCTGGCAGGTTTCGCCAGCACTTTCGCGAAGGTGTTGGAGACGATGGCGCGCTCTGCAGCGCGGTGCTGTGCGACCAGCCCGTACAGCTTCACGAACTCCTCGTCCGAGTCGTACCCCTCACTCCCATCATCACCCAAGCGCGCCAAGCCGTTCTTCCCTCTGCTTCTCCTGTCGCTTGTCCCAATCGTACCCCTCCCAGGACCACTCTCTTCCTCTCTCCCAGGAGCCTCTGTTGCCAGTCCAGCGGTAAAACTAGTTGACAGGCTTTTTGAAGGGGGGAATGCGGGTCGACGGTGTGAGGAGAGCGAGTCGGCCCGGCTGAGCTCCATGCCGTTCGCGCTGATGCTGCGGGGGTAGTCGCCGCTGCCGCCCAGGGAGTATCGCCGCGCGTGCCCCGTGCGCTTCAGCAATGGCGGCCCGCTGTCCAGAAACGCGGATTTTCCCGGCCCCTCTTTGCCGATGATCCCGTTGTTCATGCGAGCAAAACTCTTGCTTCCAGCGGCTTTCGCTCGGCGCGCTCCCGAACTCGAATCCAGAACGGAAGAATTAAATATGTTAGGGCTTGGGCTGGATTGCGAAGGCGTTTTCGCGGAAGGAGAAAACGGAGGGAGGTCGACGGGGCTCGTGGGAGAAAGAAAGGCTCTGGAAGAAGGTGAAGTGAGCGGTTGAGTGGTGCAGTCCGGTGCAAGGCGGTTCACGTCTGACGTGGAATCAAGGGAAGCAAGGTCTGGCAGGGACGGCGAATTTCGAATTGTTGGGCCTCCCGTGGGTGATCCTCCGACTCTGAGCGGCGTGTTGTCATTTCCGCGCGACCCACCGTGACGATCAGAGGCATCACGTCGCGTCGACGAACCCTTTCCGCGGCGTTGGATTAACGGGCCTTCCATGGTGGGGAACAGCATGGTAGCGCGACCCTAATGCGAGGAACAAGTCGACCGTTGCGCGGCTTGGTTTGCTCAAGACATAATAAGCGAGTGGGCTTGCTGTAGTAACAATTCGTCGATCTGCTACTACGAAAGAGCAGCCGGCGTGAATGAATGCCGGGAATTACATTGTCCATAACGTAGCGGAGAGGTGGAGCAGGTTCGAACGGGAAGGAACGGGAAGGAACGCGACGACGGAGGTGACGCGTGGGGAGGGTCAAGCTGCAGCAAGTGACCAGATGCTCGCTTAGGAATGTCGCCAGGCAAGCGCAAGCAAGGGAGGAACTAGGTTGTGGTGTGGTGGTGGTGGCGTGAGGAAAGCTGTTCAACAGGTGGAACGGACGCGGGAGACGGTGGGGAATGGAAGCATGTAGCTGTCCGTGCAGATGGCCTGATGCCTCGCGAGATTCACGAACCACACTACTGTACCCACGAGCTTCGCATAGCTATCGATTATTGGCTGAAGCCCTCCTCACCCCTGGATGGTGCCGAGATCTCTGGAGCGGTGCCTAGTGGTGCAGTCAGGTCGCTCCGACCTCCCTGGAAAGAAAGCCATTTTCACCAGACGCACGTCTGTGCGCCACCTGTAGGGTACACTATTCTGTAACACACAACGGGAGGTTCTTCTGTCGTACCCCTGTTCGTGAAAACCGTTTTTTCTCGCCGCATCGAGCAGCAGTGGCAGCGGAGCCCGCGTGCTGCCTGTCATGATCGCCTGGCGTAATCTCAGCCGTCGCTGCAGCTGTTGTGGCCTGATTCGCGAACTGCCAACAACGAAGATACGAACATCGAGAATCGAGTGTTTTTCTACCCCACCCCATACGCGTCAATAACAGGGAATAATGAGTCATCGGCACAGCGAAACATGAACTGTAGAATCCACGAGGTGGATCTATTGGGATTATGCATATTCCTCATTCACTCACTGAACGTAATTACCACATCTTCACCTCCCGACACTCATCACCGACACGGCGCAGCATACAGTGAAACAGCGGCTGGCTAACAACGCGGCCATTTCCACCACATGTCATAGTCAGCGGCACGTCAAGCCGCATAGGCGACCGTAGCTTCCTAGTGCCTTCTCATAACGGATGGCGTCACCACGAGGAGCGATGGCTGACGGCTCTACCACACAGCATGCCGGCCAGCCGTTACTGCTGGCGTCAACTATCGCCGCGTTAGGAGGCCTCGGCCTGCCGCCTGACTTGGGAGGGCTTCTTTCCCGCCTCGCGGGGGGAAACTGCGGTGCTGCCGGCGGAAATGGTTATTTCGCGGAACAGGCGGAGCGGAAGGCGCTGGCAGAGGGAATCGAAACTCGGTGCGGGGATGGGGCGGAGCAGCCGCTCGCGCACGAGGCGACCGGAAGCCACCGGGAAGGGCAGGCGCACGGGGAAGAGGGATTGGTGGAGCGGAAAGCCCCCATTTTCCGCGTGGCCCCGCTGACGGGGCTGTCGCCTGCGCACTTGCGCGAGCACGGTGGAAGGCGGAGGCGTGGGGGGAGAGCGAGGGGGGAGAGGCGGTGGGTGGCGGAGAGGGCGAGTGAGGAGGAGAGTGTGGTGGCGGTGGGGGAGGCGGGTCTTAGGCGACTGGGCATGTGCGCTGGGGACATGGTGAGGGCATGTGCGCTGGGGACATGGTGAGGGCATGTGCGCTGGGAACATGGTGAGGGGATGCGGGGAATGATGAGAGGGCGGGTGGCAAGAAGCGCAGGTGGGTACTTGGTATGTTACTGCGCGCTCTCACTGCGAGCACCACTAGCCGTCAGCTGAACGCCTTGCTCGCCCGCCTCTGCAACCTCCCCTTCCCTCGTCTGTCCCCCCCAACACCCCGGCAGGTGGCAGTGGCGCTGCTGCCGTCCGCGCCAGGCGCACAGGCCGCCCAAGTGATGCCCGCGCGCCTGCTGCTGTGCCGAGAAGGGACGCGGACGGGCAGGGCCGGCAGGCGAGGCAGCAGCAGCAGGAGTAGGAGTGCGGGTGGCAGTGGCGGGGGCACGGCGTGGGTGTCGCCGCTGCTGGGGTTCAACCTGGGCCTGCCGGGGGGAGTCATGGGGGGGTGGGCGCGCAGTGAGGGGGAGGGGGGGCGCGATGAGGATGGTGAGTCCGAGGATGATGACGTGCGAGACGAGGAGGGGAGTGAGGAGGAGGAGGAGGAGGAGGAGGAGGAAGAGGAGGAGGAGGAGGAGGAGGAGGAAGAGGAGAGCGAGGGAGTGTATAAGTCAGGGCGGGCAGCATGGGCGGGCATCCGCGTGCTCATTCTGCCCCTCCCCGCCCTGCCCTTGCCCGCGCCCTCCCCCTTGCAGCCCCCCCTGGCAGCGGACGCGGATGGGCGCGCGGCGAGAGGGGGGATGGCAGTGCGCGTGGGCGTGGCGAGTGTGGTGCGCCTTGCCCCCGTGCGCTGCCCCTCCGCCCTCCCCCCCTGGCACGCTGTAGGGGGAAGGGGAAGAAGAGGGGAGGGAGGGCGGGGGGGAGAGAGGGCAGATGGCAGTGGGGCAGTGGGAGGGGGGATGGGGAGGAGAGGGAGGGGGAAGGAGGGGCATGCGTGGGCCAATAGGCATGTGCCACGTCATGAGGAGAGAGAGGGGAGGCAGGATGGGGAGGAGCAGCGCGAGCATGCGGGCATGGGTGGGGAGGAAGGGTCGGAGGAGGAAGGGGAGGGGGACGAGGAGGAGGAGGAGGAAAGGGCGTGGGAGAGGGAGGCGAGGCAGAGGGAGGTGGACGAGGGGGTGCGGCGGGCTGTGATGCGGCAGCGGTTCGTTGCGGTGGGGGCGTGCTTCCTCACGGTGCTGGGCGGTAGAGCGAGCGTTGCTCGCATGGTGCAGTCTGTTATCGGGGGTCGAGGGGCGAGGAGAGGAAAGGGGGGAGGACGGGAGGAGGAGGAACGAGGAACAGAAGACGGGGAGGATGAGGAGGAGGAGGAGGAGGAGGAGGAGGAGGAGGAGGAGGAGGAGGAGGAGGAGGAGGAGGAGGAGGAGGAGGAGGAGGAGGAGGAGGAGGAGGAGGAGGAGGACAGGGAGGCACGGGTGGTGTATGTGAGGGTGGTAGCCGTGCACCCCCCCGGCAGCACCATCTACGCCATCCACCCCCCCTCCACGCACCTCCTCCTCTCCGCCTCCCTGCCCTCGCCCCTGCCACCTGTCGCACTGCGATTTGCTGGGGACCTAGCAGGGTATCCCCCGCCGCCCGAGGCTGCGCGGCTGGTTCGGGTGCTGGCGCCGGCGCTGCTGCCTGTGGGGTGGAGAGGGGAGGGCGCGGAGGGCGGCGGAGGGAGCAGTGTGGGGGGAGGCATGGCGCCATCCGCGTTCAGCTGTGCGCTGCTGCTCGTTGGGCCCTCTGGTGCGTGCGTGCGTGCTGCTGCTGCTGCTGCTGCTGCTGCTGCTGCTGCTGCTGCTGCTGCTGCTGCTGCTGCTGCTGCTGCTGCTGCTGCTGCTGCTGCTGCTGCTGCTGCTGCTGCTGCTGCTGCTGCTGCTGCTGCTGCTGCTGCTGCTGCTGCTGCTGCTGCTGCTACTGCTGCTGCTGCTGCTGCTGCGTTCGTGTGTGTGGGAAAGGGGGGCGTGTGCGCCTGTGCGTGCGAGCGGTGAATGATGCGTGTGTGAGCGTGGTCACTGGTTGCCCCTGCACTATGTGTTGCCTGCGCAACAGAAGCAAGGCCGTCGCACTAGCAGACACAAGGAGAGTTCTCTTCAGCAGCACACTGCATCGCATCCACGCCCCGCCCATGCTCTCCCTTCACCCACACTCCATTCAACCCACACTGCATCCCACTCACACCCCACCCACACACCTCCCCACAATCCACCACTTCTCCTTCCCCCCCACGTGCGGGCCACCAGGGGTGGGGCGGCTCACGGCAGTGCGGGTGGCGTGCCAGCGCATGGGCGTGCACTGCGTGGAGTACTGCAGCGCCGACCTCGCCGCCTCCTCCAATGAAAGCGCGACAGCTGGCGCGCTGCAAGCCGCGTTCGAAACAGCGAGCCGGTGAGAAGCGGCAGTGGGCTTGTAGGGTGTCGCTGTGACATTGCATCCGACAGCTTGTGGTGCACTGCCTGCGAATGGACAGCAGGCGGGTGTTACACCGTCCATGCCATCATCGCATCGCATGGCCCTGCTCTCCCTCGTCCACCATGTCATGCCCACCGCCTCCCCTCGTCTCCCTGCCACCCCCCCAGCTACTCGCCAGCAGTGCTGCTGCTGCGCCGCTTCTCCGCCCTCCTCACGCCCTCCGACGCCCCCGACGCCTCCTCCTCCGCCTCGCTGTCTCTGCTCGCCCACACGCTGCGCGCCTGCATCCGCTCCTTCTCCCGCGCCCATGGCCCAACCCCCCCGCACACCACACAAGCTGCACCTGTAGGGGGAGGCGGAGGGGGAGGGGGAGGGGGGGCGGCGGTGGTGGTGGTGGCGTGTGTGGAGGAGGGGGAGGCGGAGGGCATGGGGGTGGCGGTGCGGCGGTGCTTCACTCACGAGCTCACCGTGGGGCCACCGGATGAGAGACACCGGCGCCGCCTGCTGCGCTTCTTCCTCCAAGTGAGTCGTGAGGGGCCGCAGCAGCACCTGTTCATCACTCTCAGTGAGTCAGCTCCTCCCCTCTCGTCTCTCACCTGCCTTCAAGCGTCCTTCCCTCCTCATTGCCCCTCCCTTTCTTCTTTCCTTTCTCTCTTCCCACTGCATTCGCCATGTCCCCTCCCAACGCCTCCCCATTTCTCTGCACCACCACCACCACCGCCTGGCCCCAGAGCCCTCCCCACAGCGCTACAGCCGGTGGCGAGGAGGACGTGGCAGTGGCTGTAGCGCGGGAGACAGCAGGGCTGCTGCCGCGCGACCTCACTGTTTCCCCCTCTTCTCTTCCCACGGCCTGTCCCCAGAGCCCTCACCCTTCTGCCACAGCGCGCGGAGAGGAGGACATGGCGGCGGCTGTAGCGCGGGAGACGGCAGGGCTGCTGCCGCGCGACCTCAGGGCACTGGCCGCCAACGCTGCTTTCCCACTGCATTCCCCATTTTCCTTCCCATCTCCTCGCCCAGAGCCCTCCCCCCAGCGCTACAGCTCACGGAGAGGAAGACATGGCGGCGGCTGTAGCGCGGGAGACGGCGGGGCTGCTGCCGCGCGACCTCAGAGCGCTGGCTGCCGACGCTGCTGCCGCCGCCATCCGCCGCTCGCTGCCCGGTGGGGGTGCAGACAAGGGCGCTGGTGGGGTTGCGGATGATGGAGCTGTCGTGCAGACAGCTCTGGGCAATGGGGGCGTAGCGGAGGGGCGGGGTGGGGAGGATGGCAGTGCAGAGCCGAGCAGCAATCGCGAGGGGGAGGGGGAGGCCGAGGGGGGAATAGGGAGGGCGGAGGGAGGAGGGCTCAGGGGAGACGATGGTGGAAGCGGAGGGGAGGGGATGGCGGGGGGAATGGTGGGGGGGTTGGCGGTGGGGAGGGCGGACGTGGAGGAGGCGATGGGGGCGGTGAAGCGGCGCGTGGCGACGGTGATCGGCACTCCCAAGGTGCCCAACGTGCGGTGGGATGACATTGGTGGGCTGGAGGACGTCAAGGCTGCTATTCTTGATACCATCCAGGTAAGAGAGGTGGCTCTTGAGTCGACTCACACGGTGATCGGCACTCCCAAGGTGCCCAACGTGCGGTGGGATGACATCGGTGGGCTGGAGGACGTCAAGGCCGCCATCCTCAAGACCATCCAGGTGAATCCGCTGCTTCACGTGGATTTTACAAAGTCCACGTGAACTCTGTGCTGTTGTGCCGCCTTTTATTCCCTCTCTTGTGTGTGTGTGTGTGTGTGTGTGTGTGTGTGTGTGTGTGTGTGTGTGTGTGTTTGTGTGTGTGTGTGTGTGTGTGTGTGTTGTGTGTGTGTGTGTGTGTGTGTGTGAGTGTGTGTGTGTGTGTGTGTGTGTGTGTGTGTGTGTGTGTGCGTCCCCTTTCTCCTACCCCATCTCCCATCCCCCCCTGCACCCCCACAGCTGCCACTGAGGCACCGGCATCTGTTTGCGTCGGGGCTGCGGCAGCGCTCTGGTGTGCTGCTGTACGGCCCGCCAGGCACAGGCAAGGTGAGTGGCGGGTGGCGAGCGGTGGGCGCGTGGAGAGAGAAGACATGTGGGGGGTGGTGAGGGCGGGACATGGGAAGACACGCACAGCCATTTCATGTGAGCCAGCGGGTGTTGCGCCATTGGTTGAAGGACCTCACATTCTTCACAATGCTTGCAGTGCTTGCTTGTGTTGTGCGCTGGCTGTGGATCATTGGGCGTGTGACTGCCAGTCAAGCAATGTGCTGCCATGCTTGCACCGCTCCGCCATCCGCCTTCACGGCGCCACCATGTGCATGCCACCCCGTCAGACGCTGCTGGCGAAGGCGGTGGCGACGGAGTGCTCCCTCAACTTCCTGAGTGTGAAGGGCCCCGAGCTGATCAACATGTACGTGGGCGAGTCGGAGCGCAACGTGCGCGCCACCCCCCCACACCACCATGTGCACTCTTCTCCCCCCCCCCCCCCCCACCAACAGACGCTGCTGGCGAAGGCGGTGGCAACAGAGTGCTCTTTGAACTTCCTGAGCGTCAAGGGCCCGGAGCTGATCAACATGTATGTGGGCGAGTCGGAGCGCAACGTGCGCGCCATCTTTGCCAAGGCACGCGCCGCCCGCCCCTGCGTCGTCTTCTTTGACGAGCTCGATGCGCTTGCACCTGCCAGAGGGGCCGCTGGGGACTCGGGTGGCGTCATGGACCGCGTTGTCTCCCAGGTGGGCCCCTCTTGGCTGTTTGGCTCTTGCTGTCAGGTGGTCTCTGTTGCCTGTCAGGTGGGTTTCTGTTGTTGCCGAATTTGGTGAATATTGTTGAGGAGGAATGGCGATAAGGGGTGTGTGGATGAAGGGCAACTTGCAGTACTGTTCCCCCCAGTCCCACACTCACTCCTTTCGCCCTACTTCACCCACTGCTCTGTCCCGTCCTGCCCGCCCAGCGACCCCCCTGTCGCCAGCTGCTTGCTGAGGTGGACGGCATGGGGTCCACGTCAGCATCGGATGTGTTCCTGGTGGGCGCCAGCAACCGCCCCGACCTCATCGACCCCGCTCTGCTGCGCCCCGGCCGCTTCGACAAGCTGCTCTATGTGGGCGCTGGCAGCACCGCTCTGCACCGCTGCAGGTGGGGCCGCTATGGGGATGGCTGTGATGGGGGGATGGCAGGGAGGCTGGTGGGGGCGATGGAGGGATGGCAGGGATGAAGGTGGCCTCGCAGGTGGGTGGACCAGGAGGGAGGAAGCAGCTATGTTTGTTTGTGTGCGCACGAGTATTCAGCTGAGGTTCTCTCACCTCACCTCGCATCCGTCAATGCGTTCTTCCCACCCCACCCCCCCACCCTCCCCGCGCGCCCCACAGGGTGCTGCAGGCGCTGACACGGCGCTTCCAGCTGGCAGGGGGGTGTCGCTGCAGAGCATAGCGGAGCGCTGCCCCGCCACGCTCACAGGCGCCGACCTCTACGCCCTCGCTGCCGATGCCTGGCTCTGCGCTGCCAAGCGCACCGTGGGCCACGGCCAAGCACCAGGTCGCTCTGTTGCACGCTCTAAGGGTGTGGAAGGTGGAAAGGAGGGTGAAGGAGAGGATGCAGTGGTGGTGGAGCAAGCAGACTTCCTCAAGGTGCTTGCCACTCCCGTTGCCTCACTTCCTGCCTCATGGCATTTGGTCCTCCTCCCCGCCCACATCTCTTTCACATCCTTTATTTTGTTTCCATATTATTGATTTGAAGCTTCTTTTGTTTCTCTTTCCACGTACGTACGTGTTTCTGCCAGGCCTTGTCACAGCTGACCCCCTCGTTATCCGCGTCAGAGCTGCATCGCTACGAGGCTTTACGAGAGCAGTTCCAGCCTGCAGGGCGAAGCCGTGCAGCGGCTTAGATGGCTGATGGCATGTCTAATGTGTTCAGTTATCAGGGTGCAGTACATGACAACTCTCACAAGATCACACTAAAAGCTGAGAAGCGTTTTGTTTTACAGTATAGTGGTGTATAAATATGTTATCTTGGTGCTTCTGTAGTCATTCCGCTTCACCACGCACACCGAACTCCTCCCACGTCATGCCAAGAAGATCCACCCTTTTCGACAAAATTATCTGGGTGTTGTGGTTCGGCTCTGTTTCACTCCGCTCAAATCACTGAAACTGTACTTCAGTGATGCCTTGTACGTAAGGACGTGGGCTCAATCGACTTTGATCGGCTCTGATCGAATCGGGTTGGGTCGGTACGGATTGCTTGTGATCGTTTTCCTCGCGCCGCCCGATCAGATGTGAATTTCCTCGAATGTGTGGTGGCGCTCTTGCATGAAAGCTGACACCCCATTACCTGGTAGTTGCAGGCCAACTTGGGCGAGACTGACGAATTTTAGTATCGTGGTAATGTCGCACAAAGCATATCTGGGTGTATTTGCAAGGATTTTCGAGACCTCATGGCGAGGTGTGTTACATTTCGTGTACATCGCCCAGGTCCCCGATCACATGCAATCAAGAGATTGGGTCTGATTGTGTCTGATCGGGTCTGATCGGGCTGTTTGAGGCGGTTGATCGAGTTGGAGCGATCAGCTGATCGCGATCAGCTGATTGCCCCCGATTGCCTGAAATCTGCTTCCCGCCTTCCTAGAAGTTTTCGATCGCCTCTGATCGCCTCTGATCAAAGTCGATTGGGCCCACGTCCTAAATCTTCAAGGCTCGCTGGACAAAGTGCTCAAATTACCAAGCCCGTACTTCCCATCATTGCCAAAGCCACTCCAACCCGGAACCGGAATATATCACGGTAAGTGCTTCCGAGAATTGTAGTGGAGAAGGGAAAACTGGAAACTCCTGCCTCCGCAACATGCGCTGAACTTCGCAGCTCCCCATCCACCCAACGACCGCGTTCCCTGCCAGCCAGGTAGCCAACAGCCCTGCCGATCAGAGAAAGGAGAGCAAAAGTGCTCCCACCAGCTGAACCACCTGAAGCTTGTTTTCGGGCGTCTATGAACTAGAGCTTGCAGGGGCTCCTCATTTCAATTGCATCAGTCTGAGTTGATGCATTTCAGGGGAAATAGAAAGAAAGCACGATTTTCCCGAGTTTCTAGATGGACCCAACGATTTTCGATTGAGTAGATTTCCAGGCGTCATTCAAGCCAACTTAGGGCTTGGCGCTACGAATGCTGGAATATTTGTCCGATTTTTAACACCAGTGCAATGGCTGAGCGAAGCAGCACGCGCTCGCAAAGACTGTCGCTGTTTCACCTCTTGTCGTTTCTGCTATCGCTTCTCGTGTCACACAGCGTCACCTTCGCGAATGCCGGCGCGTCGGAGAATGACGGTCAGTTCGAATTCCCACTACGCCATTCGTGCATCACTATGCGAGAGATCCGCTCATTAGGTTTCGAAATGCGAATAAATAAAAATATCATTGCGGATAGTATGACCACAACTGGTGACTGTAGCGCTGAGCTTCGTGAATGCGGCATTGCAATGTTGCGACCAGGGACCGTGTTCACCGCATTGCACCGAGCAGAACGGTATCAGTCGCAGTTTAGTGTCACGGAGAGCCAAGAACAATGTCGGCGCGCAGTAAATGCACGTGACCCGCCAGAGACGCGTGGCATCATTCGTGTGCGTATACCGGCGCACGTGGACTCGCAGCCAGCGCAGTGTGGATGCCGCCTTGCGCCACCACCTCACGCACTCCACCCCTTCCTTATCTCTTCGCCCTTACCTCCCCCACCTCCTCCACCCCTTTTTTCCGCCCCTCGTTCCGCCTCCCCCCACGGCAGTGCGCGCGCTGCTGGACGTGCGCGCGGCGCTGAAGGAGGCGAACCCGGCGGCGCTGGAGTCGTGGTCGGACGGCACGGACCCGTGCGGGGGGTCGTGGGAGGGCACCTTCCGCTGCGACGACAACGGCCACGTCACCTTCCTGTGAGTCGCTAATCATGTGAGCGCCTTGCGGGGTTGACTGTGCGCGTGAAGCTGTTCCGCCCAGCCCCTCATTCCGCCCAGCCCCTCATTCCTTCCTCGCTGCTGCCTCTCGGGTCGCTCCGCACCCAGTCCTCGCGCTCGTACATCTCTTCCCCCCTCCCCCCCAACCCCTCAAAACCTCCCCCCTCCTCTCCCGCGCGCGCGCGCAGGTCGCTGGAGCAGAAGCAGCTGCAGGGGCCCATCCCCGGCGTGCAGCTCGCCGCGCTCACCTCGCTCATCTACATGTACGTCCGCATGTCGCGACAATGCACGCCGCCCACGCGCATGTCGCGACAATGCACGCCGCCCACGCGCATGGTAAGCGTAAGCATCCCACACTGCTCATGCGTGCGCGTTGGTTCGCCTCGGCGCGCTTCTCAGCGCAGCAGGTGCTGACGGCGCTGGCGGGGGGTGCGGCAGGCGGAGCAGCAGGGAATGCGGCAGTCCAGGGTCAGGCTCAGGCTGGGGGGCGCACGGTACAGACATGATTGCGCTGACATGCTTGCGCTGACATGCTTGCGCTGACGTGCTTGCGCTGACGTGCTTGCGCTGACGTGCCTGACTCGCTGGCCCTCCTCCGCTCTTGCCCACCCCGCCACCACCACGCGTCGTTCCCCTCCCTTCCCTCCCTTGCCCCTTATGCTCCTCATGCCTCTCACCCGCCGTCCCCTGGCCCCCACTCCCCCCCTGCCCTGTGCAGCAACCTGGGGGCGAACTCGTTCACGGGCACCATTCCCGAGCAGCTGCTGCGACTCACCTCGCTGCAGATCCTGTGAGTGCCACTGTGCCGCCGCTCATACACCCACATCCCAACTCCAGCACTCACTCCCACGACCAGGACATGCCCTCACTCCACGCAACCCTTCGTCCATCCTTATTCAGACGTCCCATCTATGCTCTATGGTACAATCCCATCCCCTGCCATCCCATGCCCTGCCATCCCATCCATGCCATCCCATCCATGCCATCCCATCCATGCCATCCCATCCATGCCATCCCATCCATGCCATCCCATCCATGCCATCCCTCTCCCAACCAAACCCCCCCTTCCCCCCCCACCCTTGCCGGGCGGGCAGGTCGCTGTCGTTCAACCAGCTGTCGGGCACGCTGCCAGCGGGCTTCAGCCAGCTGCAGGCGCTCAAGCAGCTGTGAGCCAAGCGGGACAGGGGGAGCGGGCAGGGCGGGTGGGGTGGGGTGGGGGCACAAGGGGTTGTCTCGCAGGCCCTGTAGCTTCCGTAGAAGCGCGCATGGCATGTCAGCACGTTGATCGCATTCCACAAGGAACAACATACCCTGTCCGTTGACACCCTCTGCCTTCTGTGTGCCCCTCTCTCACTGTGCACGTGGCATGGCATGCATGCATGCGCGCAGGCAAGTGGCGGGCAACCAGCTATCGGGCGAGCTGCCAGCGTCACTCTCCTCCCTCTCCAACCTCACCCTCCTGTCAGCCCCACTGCGCTCTGCCATGCCATGCCCATGCCATGCCATACCGTGCCATGCCATACCATACCGTGCCATGCCATACCATACCGTGCCATGCCATACCATACTGTGCCATGCCATACCATACCGTGCCATGCCATACCATACCGTGCCATGACATACCATACCGTGCCATGCCATACCATACCGTGCCATGCCATGCCATACCGTGCCATGCCATGCCATACCGTGCCATGCCATACCATACCGTGCCATGCCATACCATACCGTGCCATGCCATGCCATACCGTGCCATGCCATACCATACCGTGCCATGCCATGCCATAGCGTGCCATGCCATGCCATACCATGCCATGCCATGCCATACCATGCCATGCCATACCATGCCATGCCATACCATGCCATGCCATACCATGCCATACCATGCCATGCCATACCATGCCATGCCATGCCATGCCGTGCCATGCCATGCCATACCACAGCATACCAGGTTGACACCCATGCCAGCTATGCCATGAGTCAAATATGCAACCTGCTCTGACTCCGCCTCTCATCTTCCTCTCATCTGTTTCTCATATGTCTCTCATCTGTCTCTCATATGTCTCTCATGATCTCATCTGCTCCCACCTTTCCCCCTCTTTCTCTCCTCTGAAACGCCCCTGGCTGCTTGTGACATGGCATGGCGTGGCGTGGCATGGCGTGGCAGCAACCTGTGCAAGAACCAGTTCACGGGGCCCATCCCAGGCGACTGGAGCCGGATGACTCAAATGGCCACCCTGTGAGTGCAGTGCTCCCCTCACTGCCACCCTGTGAGTGCTCCCCTCACTGCCACCCTGTGAGTGCTCCCCTCACTGCCACCCTGTGACTGCTGTGCTTCCCCCTTCCGTGTGAGTGCTTTCCCCCCTCCCTGCGAGTGCTTCCCCCCTCCCTGTGAGTGCTCACCTCCCCCATGCGAGTGCTTTCCTTTCACTGACACCCTGCAATTACTCCCCTAATCCCACCCCTGTGAGTGCTCCCTACTCATTGCCACCACACTCGTAACTTCTGTGCAAACACTGACTGTTGCATGTCACCTTATGAGTAGCATATTATCCACCCCACCCACCGTCCCCATCTCTTTGCCTGCGTGCGTGCGTGCCTGCCTGTGTGCGTGCCTGCCTGCCTGTGTGCGTGCGTGCCTGCCTGCCTGCCTGCCTGCCTGTGTGCGTGCCTGCCTGCCTGTGTGCGTGCGTGCGTGCCTGCCTGCCTGCCTGCCTGCGTGCCTGCCTGCCTGCCTGCCTGCCTTCACGCGTGTGCATGTGTGCATGAGCAGGCGCCTGTCGTCCAACCAGCTGTCAGGGGAGGTGCCCGCGTGGTTTGGCTCGTGGCCCAAGCTCGCTGTGCTGTCAGTGCGCCTCCCTCCGCTCATGAGCTGCATTCCCGCCTTTCCTTGCTCGCATTGCACTGCACTGCACTGCACTGCACTGCACTGCACTGCACTGCACTGTGCTGAATTGCCTGTCACAGCACATCGCTGCAGTTACTGCTTTGCACTGCACTCCAACTCAACCCCTTTGTATTCCGCCACCTCCCCGCCATGCGCCTTGGCCCCCCAACCCACCGGGCAGGGAGCTGTTTGGCAACAAGCTGGGCGGCTACATCCCGCAGGACCTCGCCCAGGCCACCGCACTCGCCTCCCTGTGAGCGCCGCGCTGCCCTGCTCGAACCCTTATCCCGTTGCCTTGCACCACGCTGAGCATTCCTTCGTCCCTGTTGCTCCCGTCACTCTCTGCCCACATCGCTCAACTGCACCCACCCGCCCCTCACCCGCCTCACCCACCCACTCACCTGTGCCTCTCCGCCCTCGACCTCCCCTCGGCCTCCCTTCGGCCTCCCCTCGGCCTGCCCTGCTGTGCACCCCACTCTGTACCGCCATGCCCCGCGCGTGGCAGGGCGCTGGACGTGAACGAGCTGCGGGGGTCGCTGCCGGACTCCTTCAGCCGCCTCACCAAACTCCGAGAGCTGTCAGTCACGCCCCCCTCCCCCCTGCTGCTCACCTAACCCCTCAATCTTCCATCCCTGCTGCTCCCTCTCCCCCTGCTGCTCCCATTGCCCCTCCTCCCTTCCCTTCTGCTCCCCTCCGTGCTGCTGCTGCTCCTTGCTGCTCAGGGAGCTGTCGGTGCTGATCCAATCCTTGTCTCCGCCCTTTTACCCCATGCCATCCCCGTCGTTGTCTGCACTCTGCTGGCTGCATGGAGCTGTTTCTCTGGATGCTAACAACATCTCCTTGTGCTGCTTCCATGCGTGTATGGAATGGAATGGGGGATGCATGCATGGCTTGCTGGGGGAGCAGGTACGTGTCGAGCAACAAGCTGGAGGGCAGCATCCCGGCGTCCTACAGCACTCTCACTGACCTGCGATTCATGTGAGCTGCCATTCATGTGAGCTGCACTCCCACACACGCACGCATGCACTGCAAGCACAAGCTGCCGGCATCACATTGCGCCGCGTGTGCGCAGGAGCTCACAGCAAGCTGCCTTGAAAGAGAAGCAACCACTTTCCTTGCATCATCATCTTTCTGTCTCACGTATATGCTCCCTTGTGCCTTGTGTCCGCAACCACTTTCCAAAGTGCTGTTTTTCTCGTCTCACTCACCCGGTGCGACGCGCTCTGCAGTGATGTGAGCTACAACGCTGGGCTGGGAGGGCCCATCCCAGCCTTCTTTGGTGACTTTGACAACCTGGCGTCCATGTGAGTCAACGAGGGTCAGCTGAGTCAATGTGAGTCAACGAGGGTCAATGGAGTCAATGCGAGTCAATGAGTAATTTCGAGTCAGAGCCAGTCAATGCAGTGAATGTGAGTCTAAGCGAGTCTATGCAGCCGACGACATGGCAAGTCACACGCCACCACACCACACTCACCTCACCACCAACACAACACCAACCAAACTCCACCCCTCCCCTCCCACCCCACCCTCTCCCCACCACAGTGCGATGCAGTTCTGCTCCTTCTCAGGCCCGCTGCCCCCCTCACTAGGCAACCTGGAGCACGTGCAGGAGGTGCTGCTAGACAACAACCAGCTCACACGCCCCATCCCGACTCAACCCTTTCCCCTTCACACCCGTCCTCACCCCATCCATCTCATCCCCCCCCAGAGCAATGCAGTTCTGCTCCTTCTCAGGCCCCCTGCCCCCCTCGCTAGGCAACCTAGTCCACGTGCAGGAGGTGCTGCTAGACAACAACCAGCTGTCGGGGCCCATCCCGGACGAGTGGGGCACGGGGCTGGAGCGCGTGGAGGTGCTGCACCTCAACGACAACCAGCTGTCGGGCAGCATACCGGGCACGTTTTGCCACCTGGAGTACGCCAAGGACGTCAACCTGGCTCTTAACCGCCTGCAAGGGACCATCCCCATCTGCCTCACCTCACTGCGCCGCATCTCCTCCCTGTGAGCGCATCTCTTCCCTGTAAGCTGATTGACTTGTATTCTAACCTGCCATCTCATCTCCTGCCACTCGTGCCCTGCATCACTCCTGCTTCGTAACCCTCCCCACATCGCATACCCGGAAAGCAACCTTGTCTTCTCCTGCTCCTTCACCCCGTCGTCCCTGAACCCCTCACTCCTTGCACCCCCCTTCGGTCCCCAGAGTGCTGTCCTTCAACCGCCTCACCGGCCCCGTGCCACCGGTGCCAGCTGGCGTGCAGGTCTTCTTCAAGTGAGTGCCAGCTGGCATCGCCGATTGCACGAGATTCTTGTAGCGAGGGGCAGCTGGCAGATGCAATGTGTAGTCTATTGATGGGTGAAGGACATTCTACCTGCAGCGCATGTATCCGTTTCGACCTTGTGCTGTGCGCCCTCACATTGGAGTGTAACGATGTCTTTCCACCCAACCAACCTTAAATCTTTGGCGTTTGATTGCATGGCATGGCATGGCATGGCATGGCATGGCATGGCATGGCAGGGTGAACGGCAACTGTCTAGACGGAGTGGAGGACCAGCAGTCGCCCTGCCCCGCCCCGGACGACCCTCCCCCTGCCGCCCCCATCACACCCGAACCACCCCAGCAGCAGGAGGCAGCACCATCGAGCTCATGTGAGTGCTGCCGTGCTGCCACGCTGCCATGCTGGTATGCTGGCGTGCTGTCATGCTGCCATGTTGGCGTGCCAGCAGCAGAATCAATTCTGACAGGCAAGGTTGTATGGTCCCACTTACATATCCCACATGCCCCGTGCATATCACATGTGCCATCCACTTTATGGCTTCAACTCCATCCCTGATTCTTCACACCACGAACCCCTTTCCCCTGTCCCCACGTGCTCCCATGTGTCATCCTCCCAGCAACATGGTCATGGATGAGGGGCTTCCTCATAGCGCTGCTCTCAGCCACGTTTGTGCTGCTCCTCATATTCGCCTTTGTGCTCCTCGCCAATCGCACCGACGCCCACAACGCCTCGCGCTCCGACAACTGTCAGTGCCCTCCTTCGCCCACACCACCTTTCCTCTCTCACACTGCCTTTCCCCTCCCACATTGACGTTCCTCTCCCACATTGACGTTCCTCTCCCACATTGACGTTCCTCTCCCACATTGACGTTCCTCTCCCACATTGACGTTCCTCTCCCACATTGACGTTCCTCTCCCACATTGACGTTCCTCTCCCACATTGACGTTCCTCTCCCACATTGACGTTCCTCTCCCACATTGACGTTCCTCTCCCACATTGACGTTCCTCTCCCACATTGACGTTCCTCTCCCACATTGACGTTCCTCTCCCACATTGACGTTCCTCTCCCACATTGACGTTCCTCTCCCACATTGACGTTCCTCTCCCACATTGACGTTCCTCTCCCACATTGACGTTCCTCTCCCACATTGACGTTCCTCTCCCACATTGACGTTCCTCTCCCACATTGACGTTCCTCTCCCACATTGACGTTCCTCTCCCACATTGACGTTCCTCTCCCACATTGACGTTCCTCTCCCACATTGACGTTCCTCTCCCACATTGACGTTCCTCTCCCACATTGACGTTCCTCTCCCACATTGACGTTCCTCTCCCACATTGACGTTCCTCTCCCACATTGACGTTCCTCTCCCACATTGACGTTCCTCTCCCACATTGACGTTCCTCTCCCACATTGACGTTCCTCTCCCACATTGACGTTCCTCTCCCACATTGACGTTCCTCTCCCACATTGACGTTCCTCTCCCACATTGACGTTCCTCTCCCACATTGACGTTCCTCTCCCACATTGACGTTCCTCTCCCACATTGACGTTCCTCTCCCACATTGACGTTCCTCTCCCACATTGACGTTCCTCTCCCACATTGACGTTCCTCTCCCACATTGACGTTCCTCTCCCACATTGACGTTCCTCTCCCACATTGACGTTCCTCTCCCACATTGACGTTCCTCTCCCACATTGACGTTCCTCTCCCACATTGACGTTCCTCTCCCACATTGACGTTCCTCTCCCACATTGACGTTCCTCTCCCACATTGACGTTCCTCTCCCACATTGACGTTCCTCTCCCACATTGACGTTCCTCTCCCACATTGACGTTCCTCTCCCACATTGACGTTCCTCTCCCACATTGACGTTCCTCTCCCACATTGACGTTCCTCTCCCACATTGACGTTCCTCTCCCACATTGACGTTCCTCTCCCACATTGACGTTCCTCTCCCACATTGACGTTCCTCTCCCACATTGACGTTCCTCTCCCACATTGACGTTCCTCTCCCACATTGACGTTCCTCTCCCACATTGACGTTCCTCTCCCACATTGACGTTCCTCTCCCACATTGACGTTCCTCTCCCACATTGACGTTCCTCTCCCACATTGACGTTCCTCTCCCACATTGACGTTCCTCTCCCACATTGACGTTCCTCTCCCACATTGACGTTCCTCTCCCACATTGACGTTCCTCTCCCACATTGACGTTCCTCTCCCACATTGACGTTCCTCTCCCACATTGACGTTCCTCTCCCACATTGACGTTCCTCTCCCACATTGACGTTCCTCTCCCACATTGACGTTCCTCTCCCACATTGACGTTCCTCTCCCACATTGACGTTCCTCTCCCACATTGACGTTCCTCTCCCACATTGACGTTCCTCTCCCACATTGACGTTCCTCTCCCACATTGACGTTCCTCTCCCACATTGACGTTCCTCTCCCACATTGACGTTCCTCTCCCACATTGACGTTCCTCTCCCACATTGACGTTCCTCTCCCACATTGACGTTCCTCTCCCACATTGACGTTCCTCTCCCACATTGACGTTCCTCTCCCACATTGACGTTCCTCTCCCACATTGACGTTCCTCTCCCACATTGACGTTCCTCTCCCACATTGACGTTCCTCTCCCACATTGACGTTCCTCTCCCACATTGACGTTCCTCTCCCACATTGACGTTCCTCTCCCACATTGACGTTCCTCTCCCACATTGACGTTCCTCTCCCACATTGACGTTCCTCTCCCACATTGACGTTCCTCTCCCACATTGACGTTCCTCTCCCACATTGACGTTCCTCTCCCACATTGACGTTCCTCTCCCACATTGACGTTCCTCTCCCACATTGACGTTCCTCTCCCACATTGACGTTCCTCTCCCACATTGACGTTCCTCTCCCACATTGACGTTCCTCTCCCACATTGACGTTCCTCTCCCACATTGACGTTCCTCTCCCACATTGACGTTCCTCTCCCACATTGACGTTCCTCTCCCACATTGACGTTCCTCTCCCACATTGACGTTCCTCTCCCACATTGACGTTCCTCTCCCACATTGACGTTCCTCTCCCACATTGACGTTCCTCTCCCACATTGACGTTCCTCTCCCACATTGACGTTCCTCTCCCACATTGACGTTCCTCTCCCACATTGACGTTCCTCTCCCACATTGACGTTCCTCTCCCACATTGACGTTCCTCTCCCACATTGACGTTCCTCTCCCACATTGACGTTCCTCTCCCACATTGACGTTCCTCTCCCACATTGACGTTCCTCTCCCACATTGACGTTCCTCTCCCACATTGACGTTCCTCTCCCACATTGACGTTCCTCTCCCACATTGACGTTCCTCTCCCACATTGACGTTCCTCTCCCACATTGACGTTCCTCTCCCACATTGACGTTCCTCTCCCACATTGACGTTCCTCTCCCACATTGACGTTCCTCTCCCACATTGACGTTCCTCTCCCACATTGACGTTCCTCTCCCACATTGACGTTCCTCTCCCACATTGACGTTCCTCTCCCACATTGACGTTCCTCTCCCACATTGACGTTCCTCTCCCACATTGACGTTCCTCTCCCACATTGACGTTCCTCTCCCACATTGACGTTCCTCTCCCACATTGACGTTCCTCTCCCACATTGACGTTCCTCTCCCACATTGACGTTCCTCTCCCACATTGACGTTCCTCTCCCACATTGACGTTCCTCTCCCACATTGACGTTCCTCTCCCACATTGACGTTCCTCTCCCACATTGACGTTCCTCTCCCACATTGACGTTCCTCTCCCACATTGACGTTCCTCTCCCACATTGACGTTCCTCTCCCACATTGACGTTCCTCTCCCACATTGACGTTCCTCTCCCACATTGACGTTCCTCTCCCACATTGACGTTCCTCTCCCACATTGACGTTCCTCTCCCACATTGACGTTCCTCTCCCACATTGACGTTCCTCTCCCACATTGACGTTCCTCTCCCACATTGACGTTCCTCTCCCACATTGACGTTCCTCTCCCACATTGACGTTCCTCTCCCACATTGACGTTCCTCTCCCACATTGACGTTCCTCTCCCACATTGACGTTCCTCTCCCACATTGACGTTCCTCTCCCACATTGACGTTCCTCTCCCACATTGACGTTCCTCTCCCACATTGACGTTCCTCTCCCACATTGACGTTCCTCTCCCACATTGACGTTCCTCTCCCACATTGACGTTCCTCTCCCACATTGACGTTCCTCTCCCACATTGACGTTCCTCTCCCACATTGACGTTCCTCTCCCACATTGACGTTCCTCTCCCACATTGACGTTCCTCTCCCACATTGACGTTCCTCTCCCACATTGACGTTCCTCTCCCACATTGACGTTCCTCTCCCACATTGACGTTCCTCTCCCACATTGACGTTCCTCTCCCACATTGACGTTCCTCTCCCACATTGACGTTCCTCTCCCACATTGACGTTCCTCTCCCACATTGACGTTCCTCTCCCACATTGACGTTCCTCTCCCACATTGACGTTCCTCTCCCACATTGACGTTCCTCTCCCACATTGACGTTCCTCTCCCACATTGACGTTCCTCTCCCACATTGACGTTCCTCTCCCACATTGACGTTCCTCTCCCACATTGACGTTCCTCTCCCACATTGACGTTCCTCTCCCACATTGACGTTCCTCTCCCACATTGACGTTCCTCTCCCACATTGACGTTCCTCTCCCACATTGACGTTCCTCTCCCACATTGACGTTCCTCTCCCACATTGACGTTCCTCTCCCACATTGACGTTCCTCTCCCACATTGACGTTCCTCTCCCACATTGACGTTCCTCTCCCACATTGACGTTCCTCTCCCACATTGACGTTCCTCTCCCACATTGACGTTCCTCTCCCACATTGACGTTCCTCTCCCACATTGACGTTCCTCTCCCACATTGACGTTCCTCTCCCACATTGACGTTCCTCTCCCACATTGACGTTCCTCTCCCACATTGACGTTCCTCTCCCACATTGACGTTCCTCTCCCACATTGACGTTCCTCTCCCACATTGACGTTCCTCTCCCACATTGACGTTCCTCTCCCACATTGACGTTCCTCTCCCACATTGACGTTCCTCTCCCACATTGACGTTCCTCTCCCACATTGACGTTCCTCTCCCACATTGACGTTCCTCTCCCACATTGACGTTCCTCTCCCACATTGACGTTCCTCTCCCACATTGACGTTCCTCTCCCACATTGACGTTCCTCTCCCACATTGACGTTCCTCTCCCACATTGACGTTCCTCTCCCACATTGACGTTCCTCTCCCACATTGACGTTCCTCTCCCACATTGACGTTCCTCTCCCACATTGACGTTCCTCTCCCACATTGACGTTCCTCTCCCACATTGACGTTCCTCTCCCACATTGACGTTCCTCTCCCACATTGACGTTCCTCTCCCACATTGACGTTCCTCTCCCACATTGACGTTCCTCTCCCACATTGACGTTCCTCTCCCACATTGACGTTCCTCTCCCACATTGACGTTCCTCTCCCACATTGACGTTCCTCTCCCACATTGACGTTCCTCTCCCACATTGACGTTCCTCTCCCACATTGACGTTCCTCTCCCACATTGACGTTCCTCTCCCACATTGACGTTCCTCTCCCACATTGACGTTCCTCTCCCACATTGACGTTCCTCTCCCACATTGACGTTCCTCTCCCACATTGACGTTCCTCTCCCACATTGACGTTCCTCTCCCACATTGACGTTCCTCTCCCACATTGACGTTCCTCTCCCACATTGACGTTCCTCTCCCACATTGACGTTCCTCTCCCACATTGACGTTCCTCTCCCACATTGACGTTCCTCTCCCACATTGACGTTCCTCTCCCACATTGACGTTCCTCTCCCACATTGACGTTCCTCTCCCACATTGACGTTCCTCTCCCACATTGACGTTCCTCTCCCACATTGACGTTCCTCTCCCACATTGACGTTCCTCTCCCACATTGACGTTCCTCTCCCACATTGACGTTCCTCTCCCACATTGACGTTCCTCTCCCACATTGACGTTCCTCTCCCACATTGACGTTCCTCTCCCACATTGACGTTCCTCTCCCACATTGACGTTCCTCTCCCACATTGACGTTCCTCTCCCACATTGACGTTCCTCTCCCACATTGACGTTCCTCTCCCACATTGACGTTCCTCTCCCACATTGACGTTCCTCTCCCACATTGACGTTCCTCTCCCACATTGACGTTCCTCTCCCACATTGACGTTCCTCTCCCACATTGACGTTCCTCTCCCACATTGACGTTCCTCTCCCACATTGACGTTCCTCTCCCACATTGACGTTCCTCTCCCACATTGACGTTCCTCTCCCACATTGACGTTCCTCTCCCACATTGACGTTCCTCTCCCACATTGACGTTCCTCTCCCACATTGACGTTCCTCTCCCACATTGACGTTCCTCTCCCACATTGACGTTCCTCTCCCACATTGACGTTCCTCTCCCACATTGACGTTCCTCTCCCACATTGACGTTCCTCTCCCACATTGACGTTCCTCTCCCACATTGACGTTCCTCTCCCACATTGACGTTCCTCTCCCACATTGACGTTCCTCTCCCACATTGACGTTCCTCTCCCACATTGACGTTCCTCTCCCACATTGACGTTCCTCTCCCACATTGACGTTCCTCTCCCACATTGACGTTCCTCTCCCACATTGACGTTCCTCTCCCACATTGACGTTCCTCTCCCACATTGACGTTCCTCTCCCACATTGACGTTCCTCTCCCACATTGACGTTCCTCTCCCACATTGACGTTCCTCTCCCACATTGACGTTCCTCTCCCACATTGACGTTCCTCTCCCACATTGACGTTCCTCTCCCACATTGACGTTCCTCTCCCACATTGACGTTCCTCTCCCACATTGACGTTCCTCTCCCACATTGACGTTCCTCTCCCACATTGACGTTCCTCTCCCACATTGACGTTCCTCTCCCACATTGACGTTCCTCTCCCACATTGACGTTCCTCTCCCACATTGACGTTCCTCTCCCACATTGACGTTCCTCTCCCACATTGACGTTCCTCTCCCACATTGACGTTCCTCTCCCACATTGACGTTCCTCTCCCACATTGACGTTCCTCTCCCACATTGACGTTCCTCTCCCACATTGACGTTCCTCTCCCACATTGACGTTCCTCTCCCACATTGACGTTCCTCTCCCACATTGACGTTCCTCTCCCACATTGACGTTCCTCTCCCACATTGACGTTCCTCTCCCACATTGACGTTCCTCTCCCACATTGACGTTCCTCTCCCACATTGACGTTCCTCTCCCACATTGACGTTCCTCTCCCACATTGACGTTCCTCTCCCACATTGACGTTCCTCTCCCACATTGACGTTCCTCTCCCACATTGACGTTCCTCTCCCACATTGACGTTCCTCTCCCACATTGACGTTCCTCTCCCACATTGACGTTCCTCTCCCACATTGACGTTCCTCTCCCACATTGACGTTCCTCTCCCACATTGACGTTCCTCTCCCACATTGACGTTCCTCTCCCACATTGACGTTCCTCTCCCACATTGACGTTCCTCTCCCACATTGACGTTCCTCTCCCACATTGACGTTCCTCTCCCACATTGACGTTCCTCTCCCACATTGACGTTCCTCTCCCACATTGACGTTCCTCTCCCACATTGACGTTCCTCTCCCACATTGACGTTCCTCTCCCACATTGACGTTCCTCTCCCACATTGACGTTCCTCTCCCACATTGACGTTCCTCTCCCACATTGACGTTCCTCTCCCACATTGACGTTCCTCTCCCACATTGACGTTCCTCTCCCACATTGACGTTCCTCTCCCACATTGACGTTCCTCTCCCACATTGACGTTCCTCTCCCACATTGACGTTCCTCTCCCACATTGACGTTCCTCTCCCACATTGACGTTCCTCTCCCACATTGACGTTCCTCTCCCACATTGACGTTCCTCTCCCACATTGACGTTCCTCTCCCACATTGACGTTCCTCTCCCACATTGACGTTCCTCTCCCACATTGACGTTCCTCTCCCACATTGACGTTCCTCTCCCACATTGACGTTCCTCTCCCACATTGACGTTCCTCTCCCACATTGACGTTCCTCTCCCACATTGACGTTCCTCTCCCACATTGACGTTCCTCTCCCACATTGACGTTCCTCTCCCACATTGACGTTCCTCTCCCACATTGACGTTCCTCTCCCACATTGACGTTCCTCTCCCACATTGACGTTCCTCTCCCACATTGACGTTCCTCTCCCACATTGACGTTCCTCTCCCACATTGACGTTCCTCTCCCACATTGACGTTCCTCTCCCACATTGACGTTCCTCTCCCACATTGACGTTCCTCTCCCACATTGACGTTCCTCTCCCACATTGACGTTCCTCTCCCACATTGACGTTCCTCTCCCACATTGACGTTCCTCTCCCACATTGACGTTCCTCTCCCACATTGACGTTCCTCTCCCACATTGACGTTCCTCTCCCACATTGACGTTCCTCTCCCACATTGACGTTCCTCTCCCACATTGACGTTCCTCTCCCACATTGACGTTCCTCTCCCACATTGACGTTCCTCTCCCACATTGACGTTCCTCTCCCACATTGACGTTCCTCTCCCACATTGACGTTCCTCTCCCACATTGACGTTCCTCTCCCACATTGACGTTCCTCTCCCACATTGACGTTCCTCTCCCACATTGACGTTCCTCTCCCACATTGACGTTCCTCTCCCACATTGACGTTCCTCTCCCACATTGACGTTCCTCTCCCACATTGACGTTCCTCTCCCACATTGACGTTCCTCTCCCACATTGACGTTCCTCTCCCACATTGACGTTCCTCTCCCACATTGACGTTCCTCTCCCACATTGACGTTCCTCTCCCACATTGACGTTCCTCTCCCACATTGACGTTCCTCTCCCACATTGACGTTCCTCTCCCACATTGACGTTCCTCTCCCACATTGACGTTCCTCTCCCACATTGACGTTCCTCTCCCACATTGACGTTCCTCTCCCACATTGACGTTCCTCTCCCACATTGACGTTCCTCTCCCACATTGACGTTCCTCTCCCACATTGACGTTCCTCTCCCACATTGACGTTCCTCTCCCACATTGACGTTCCTCTCCCACATTGACGTTCCTCTCCCACATTGACGTTCCTCTCCCACATTGACGTTCCTCTCCCACATTGACGTTCCTCTCCCACATTGACGTTCCTCTCCCACATTGACGTTCCTCTCCCACATTGACGTTCCTCTCCCACATTGACGTTCCTCTCCCACATTGACGTTCCTCTCCCACATTGACGTTCCTCTCCCACATTGACGTTCCTCTCCCACATTGACGTTCCTCTCCCACATTGACGTTCCTCTCCCACATTGACGTTCCTCTCCCACATTGACGTTCCTCTCCCACATTGACGTTCCTCTCCCACATTGACGTTCCTCTCCCACATTGACGTTCCTCTCCCACATTGACGTTCCTCTCCCACATTGACGTTCCTCTCCCACATTGACGTTCCTCTCCCACATTGACGTTCCTCTCCCACATTGACGTTCCTCTCCCACATTGACGTTCCTCTCCCACATTGACGTTCCTCTCCCACATTGACGTTCCTCTCCCACATTGACGTTCCTCTCCCACATTGACGTTCCTCTCCCACATTGACGTTCCTCTCCCACATTGACGTTCCTCTCCCACATTGACGTTCCTCTCCCACATTGACGTTCCTCTCCCACATTGACGTTCCTCTCCCACATTGACGTTCCTCTCCCACATTGACGTTCCTCTCCCACATTGACGTTCCTCTCCCACATTGACTTTCCCCTCCCGCACTCTCTCTCTCTCGCACACTGCCTTTCCTCCTTCACGCTGCCTATCCTCTCCCACATTGCCTTTCCGCTTACACACCGTTGTTTCTCTCCTGCAATGCCCCTCCTTCTCCCACATTGCCCTTCATACACACATGTATGCACATGTGACATGCTCTCCACACCACTCCTTGCCCCCCCTGCTGTGGGCGGCAGTGGCGGTGCACGAGTACAGCCTGGGCAAGGACACTTCTGAGTCGACTCAAAAATTCCTCCCCCCCCCCCCCTTCATCCCCTCCCCTCCTTTTCCCCCCATCAGTGGCGGTGCAGGAGTACAGTCTGGGCAAGGAGACTTCTGAGTCAGCCCAATATTCCCTCTCACCGCTTCATCCCCTCCCCTCCTTCCCCCCCCAGTGGCGGTGCAGGAGTATAGTCTGGGCAAGGAGACTTCTGAGTCAGCCCAATATTCCCTCTCACCGCTTCATCCCCTCCCCTCCTTTCCCCCCCAGTGGCGGTGCAGGAGTACAGTCTGGGCAAGGAGACTTCTGAGTCAGCCCAATATTCCCTCTCACCGCTTCATCCCCTCCCCTCCTTTCCCCCACCATCAGTGGCGGTGCAGGAGTACAGTCTGGGCAAGATCAAGAAGGCAACGCGCAGCTTCACCACGGTGTACGGGCGGGGCAGCTTCGGCACCGTGTACCTGGCGGAGGACTTCCTCAGAGACCAGATCGAGACGCGCGCCATCATCAAACGTGCCCATGATCCTGAGAGTGAGTGTGACACCTGGAAGGGCGTCAATGGGGGGCGGGGGAGGGAAGGGGAAGGGGCAGCTTCGGCACCGTGTACCTGGCGGAGGACTTCCTCAGAGACCAGATCGAGACGCGCGCCATCATCAAACGTGCCCATGATCCTGAGAGTGAGTGTGACACCTGGAAGGGCGTCAATGGGGGGCGGGGGAGGGAAGGGGAAGGGGCAGCTTCGGCACCGTGTACCTGGCGGAGGACTTCCTCAGAGACCAGATCGAGACGCGCGCCATCATCAAACGTGCCCATGATCCTGAGAGTGAGTGTGACACCTGGAAGGGCGTCAATGGGGGGCGGGGGAGGGAAGGGGAAGGGGCAGCTTCGGCACCGTGTACCTGGCGGAGGACTTCCTCAGAGACCAGATCGAGACGCGCGCCATCATCAAACGTGCCCATGATCCTGAGAGTGAGTGTGACACCTGGAAGGGCGTCAATGGGGGGCGGGGGAGGGAAGGGGAAGGGGCAGCTTCGGCACCGTGTACCTGGCGGAGGACTTCCTCAGAGACCAGATCGAGACGCGCGCCATCATCAAACGTGCCCATGATCCTGAGAGTGAGTGTGACACCTGGAAGGGCGTCAATGGGGGGCGGGGGAGGGAAGGGGAAGGGGCAGCTTCGGCACCGTGTACCTGGCGGAGGACTTCCTCAGAGACCAGATCGAGACGCGCGCCATCATCAAACGTGCCCATGACCCCGAGAGTGAGTGGGAGACCTGGGGGTGGGGGGCGGCATGGGGAAGGGTGCGAGTGGGTTGGTGGAAGGCTTGAGTTCATTTAGGAAGGGTGTGAGAGCAAGATAGGTGGAATGAGAGTGGGATTGAGATGACATGCGTTGGAACTTGCAAGCCAGTGGGTGAATTGATTGAGATGCCAGGATTGCTTTTCTTCACCTCCTCAGCATGCCTCTTGACCATCCTCCCCTCATCCCCCCCCAACCTCCTGCCCCTGCCACATAATCCTCCCGCCGCCTCCACCACACCCCACCCCTGGCAGAGCTGGGTGAGTACGTGTTCAAGGCGAAGGCGGACTTCTTGGCGCGGGTGAGGCACCGCAGTCTGGTGGCGCTGCTGGGGTTCTGTGTGGGCAAGGGCGAGCGCATCCTCGTCTACGAGTACCTCCCCAACGGCTCCCTCTACGACCGCCTCCACCGTCAGTTACCCTGCCCCCTGCCCTCTCCCTCGCCCCCCTGCACTCCTGCCCTCCTGCCTGCGCCTTCCTCCCTCCGACCTCCGTCCTCTGCTCTTGTGCCAACGTTGCCTGCCGTGGTGTGCTGTGGGCCATCGCATGGCGCATCCCTCCCTTTCCTATACTCACCGTTACCTGCCCATGCTCCCAACTCCCCTCTCAACCTCACTCTTATCTGCCTGCCAAAGATCCACTCTTCTTCTTTCTAGACCTGCTCTTGTCCCATATCCCTTCCATTCCCCCCCACCTCAGGCCCCCTCATTCACCCCAACCCACGGCACGGCATCCCTTATGCGTTGTCAAGCACCCCTGCCCCTTGCACCCCACCCCACGGCACGGCATGCCCTTTGCCTTATCGCGTGCACATCTGCCCCTTGCACCGCACCCTACGGCATTGCCCGCCCTGCGTGCAGGCCCGGACCTGGAGCCGATCCCGTGGGACACGCGCGTGCGCATCGCAGCGAACGTGGCGTCGGCGCTGAGCTACCTGCACCACTGCTGCCACCCGCCCCTCGTGCACCGCGCCGTCACCTCCTCCAACATCCTGCTCACCTTCGACATGTCCGGCAAGGTCCGTCCTCATCTCGCACAGTGCTGTGGCATCTGGTGGTGTGATTCCTTCGTGCATAGAAAGCAGCATCATTCCTGTTCGCTCCCCCTGCTGTCCCTCATGCGCACCGCCCATCTGCCATTCTCTCCCCTTCTCCCCTTCTCCCCCTCTCCCCTCGCCCCCGCCAGCTGTCTGACTTTGGGCTGGCCCGGGGCGGCTCCCCCGCGGTGTTTGACGACGGCTCCAAGCGCCGCCGCCCCAACAAGCCCGCGCGCACACGCAGCGGGGGGGTGGCGGAGGGCGAGGGGAGCGAGGGTGGGGAAGCGGGGGAGGAGGGGCAGAGCGCGTTGCAGGGGGGCGAGTTGGAGAAGGTGGATGTGTATGGGTTTGGAGTGGTGCTGCTGGAGCTGATCACGGGGCAGAAGGCCATGAAGGAGGTCCACATCACCAGCCTCGTGCGTCCCCCCCTCCGCCCCGCTCCTCTGCTCCTCACGTTTCCACTGCTTCGACGCATGGTTGCTGCTTGCACACCACTCTCCCCATGCACCAATCAGCATTAGGTGCACAGCTATACGTGCCTATCCATGTGCTCATGCCTTCCCCCCCTCCTGCCCCCTCCCCCTCCCCTCCTGTGTGTCAGGCGGCGCCATTCCTGGAGGACGCGCAGATGATGCCGCTGATGGTGGATGCAGCGCTGGGGGGATTCTTCGACCAGGCGGAGCTGATAGCACTGGGCACCATCGCCCGCGACTGCGTCAAGGAGGACCCCTCCGCGCGCCCCTCCATGCGCGACATCGTGCGCACCATGCAGGCACAGCTCGACCTCGAGGCCGACCTCTTTGCCGCGCCAGCTGGCGTGGCCGGTACGGATGACCTGGACCGGGGAGACGGGGGCGATGGAGTGGCCAACTCGAGTGGATACGCGCCGGTGGGCGGTGGTGGTGTGCTGGCCTCCGCATGGGTCTCGTTGGAAAATGTTGCCTCCTCCGTTCGCACAGCCCTGACCAGCCCCCGAACGCCACAGCCAGGCAACGAGAGCGCGGCCGATCCCACGGATGTGGAGATGTCCTCCTTGTTGCTCATTGCACCCCGTGCTGCACGTCGGTAACCTCAGAACGGCACTCATAGTGGTTCTGTTGTAGATTATTTATTTTAGCTGCACCTGGTTATGACATGCAGTTTTGTTTAGCATTTTTATTGAATCTCGTTTCTATTGTACAATATTGAGTGACGTTATTTAGGCTAGAATCTTAACAAAACTCGGATGTACCAGTCAGTGAATGCTATGGACATCGTAACACACGACGGTTGTGTTTGTCGGGGTGATGATTACCACGTCGCGGGCCAATCCCCGATCGCAAAAACAACTGGCGAAGTGATGTTGCCACCAACCATCTCATGATGCCTCGACTCGACTCGGGACCATCCAAGCCATCCCCTCTCTGGTAACTCCACCACACAGACCGCTTTTTTCGCCTGCCCAGTCTCGGTTGGGCTCGTGTTTTGTGGCTGTGCAAAGCTTTTCGCTTGTAGGCCTGCCCGTCCCTCGTTACCTGAAGGGCGAGGCTGCCCGCTGGGCAATCCCAAAGCAGCGACCCAACTCCCACTGTACGCCACCAACGGCCCACCTTCCCGAATTTCTTTCTCAAGCCATGACCGCCTCCTCATGTCCATCTACTGGACATCCCATGCCCATGCTCCTCGCACTTTATTCTCGGGCCCGTCACTTGTCTGACCTAAAGCGGCATCCGTGCTAGATGGCCTGAGAGTAGCCAGGTTACAGAAGCTTCTGTTTATCGACTGGTCTAGCTGCACTGTTGTCGACGTTCGAACGTTTTAAGTATACTTCTTCTAATTTCGCATCACCCCATTGCGTCGTCCGCGCGAGCACCGCCATAGTCGCCATGGATGTGAGGCATCAAGCGGCGCGATTTGAAATCAACGAGTTGCGACGATGCATGAGCACGTCGCTCGACAAGCTGGTTACCACCACGCCGTCGGTGCGTTTCGCCGACGAGGTCGTCGACCTGGAGAAAGCAGCGGAGGCGGGTCCGCCGCAAGTCACGTTCGCGCGGTCCACGTCGTTCACGTCGCACAGCTCGTCGGGCGAGACGGAGGCAGCGCGGCGGCTGGCCGTGCGGCTGCTGATCGGCGGGGCCAAGGAGGAGGGCGGCGGGGAGCCGCAAAAGGAGGGACGCGAGAGACGGCGACGCCACGGCAGCAGCAGCAGCGGCGGCCGCAGCAGCGGAAGCGGCAGCGGGAGTGGCAGCGGCAGCGGCAGCGGTGGTAGTGGGGAGGCGCGAGGGTCGTGGCAGAAGCACCGGAGCTATTCGTTGAACCAGGAGTGGTCCGGAGGGAAGCCCGTGTCGCGGTCTAGTGGGGGCGGCTCGGAGACGGAGAGCGCAGACGGATCGAGCAGAAGCGAGAAGCGATCGCTGGCGAAGGAAGTTACAGCGCTTCGACGACAGCTCGCGGAGTTTCAAGCTGCGAATCAGGACCTTCTAGGTGAGCGGCGTTGCAGACGTGGCAGAGCAGAGATGGGCAGAGCAGCGATGGGGCAGAGCACGGATGGGGCAGAGCACGGATGGGGCAGAGCGCGGATGGGGCAGAGCGCGGATGGGGCAGAGCGCGGACGGGGCGGGGCACGGGGCGTGACTGGGGCAGTGCTGCATGCGTGCATCTCCGAGTGCATGTTCCATACGCTCTCGCTAGTGGATTGCGTGACGACCGCCGCCAGCGCGAATTCGTGCCGCACCTGCCTTTTAAATAGCAGCTCTTGATTTTGCGCGCGCTGCGCTACTCTTTCTCGCTTTCCTGCACCCTCCCCCTTTTCACCCTCCAATAAGTCCTTATCCACACCCCTCCTTCCCCATACCCTCTCCTTCCCCACACCCCCTCCTTTCCCGCGCCTTAGTGCTGCATTCATTTATCCCGTCAGCACCCCCTTCCTCCTTCCAGCCCCTCCACATCCTCGCTCCTCCGCATCCCACGGTCCACCTCCCCACTCACCTCCACGTTCACCAATCTCCATTCCCCCATTCTGCTCCACCCCCCACTCTCCTGCACCTCCCCCCACCCCCCATTCCCTTCCATCTTCTCACTCCCTCTCCCTTCCTTTCCTCCGCCCGCTCTTTTATGACTGGCAGCCCTCCCAATCACCCCCTCACCCTTATGCAATTCTCAGGCTCTCAGCCCCCAACATTTCCCTCTCCCCCTTCCAAAAAAGCACCCCCCTCCTTCTCCCTCCCCTGCCCGCAACCCCCCCCCCCCCCCCCCCCCCCCCCGGCGTGTGTCCCCCGCCCCCATCCCGTGCGTGAGCGCAGACGAGTTGGACCGCAAGTCGCTGGCGGTGGCGGCGGCGGAGGAGGCGGTGCGGGACGCACGGGCGGAGCGCGACCTGATGGCGGCGGAGATGGAGGCGGCGCTGGGCACGTGGACGCTGGCCGTGGACGAGGCCAAGGAGGCGGCGCACGCAGCGGAGGCGGCGAGGGAGCAGGTGGCGGAGCTGGAGACGGAGAACAAACGCCTGTGGCAGCTCGTGGAACTCATCCTGGAGCAGAAGGACAAGGCCGCGCTGGACGGCGCTGATGGCAGCGCTGGGAAATTCGACCCCACCACCAATGCACGCATCATGTGAGTGCCCCCCCGAGCGAGCTCGCAGGCTGTGGTTGTATGGTGCTGCCCGTGCATTCAGTGTCTTGAGTCTGTTGCCTCTCAGGCTCTGTGCCTGCCTTCCATGGAGTGTCCGAGGGCAGGTTCGTTGCACTGGCACTCACTCCTTCCCTGCCCACTCACTCCGCACCGTGCTGTCACTCTTTGTAGCTGCCACTCTGTGCATCAAGCATGCCCACAGCTCACCCACCCTCACCACCCGCCTGCCCTGTCCATGAATGGTGCTTCCAGGAAGGTGCTGGAGTCGGTGAAGAAGCCAAGCCACAGGAGCTCAGCGTCCCCCAGCCGGCCGGCCACGGGCAGCAGCAGCAGGCGGGGGGGCAGTGGGGGGTCCAGGGAGTCATCGTCCAAGGCGACAGGGGACTCGGAGAGGACGGGTGAGTCGGGGTCGCGCAGCAGCAGATCGTCGTCCTCCAAGCAGGTCCGCTGGTGAGGTGATGCCTCCTGCCATGCGCTGCGCCCTACGTGCCACACACTGCCGAGCCTCAGCCGTTGCCCAGGAGGCTGTCATCGTGCTTAGTACACCTGCGCTCCGCTGTGCTTCACAATACAACGCTCTGTTGATATTTATACAGGAAGAAGTGCGTTGCGGCCCTGTATTTGTGCATGGGGTTTCTTTAGTCTGGTAGAGTCTAGGGTGAGCTGTGCAGCTTCTTCATTTTTTTCTTCTTTTCTGGGTCTAGGATTTTGTAGAGGCCGTTAGCACGGCAGTTTAGCTTGTGTGAGGTTATATTACACATTTTTCTAGGCTGCTTTGTTTCTAATCAGCCGTAAGGTCAATAAAAATGGGAGTGTACCCGATGTGTGATATTCCAGAACTAGCGATACCTGTCTTGAGGAGGGCAGTGAGGCAGTTTCAGGTCACAATTCACATTGCCACGCGACACACCATCCATGCGCACCGCGCGCTCTCCCCATTCCGTCCGCCTCCAGCAGCCGTCCACTCAACCGCGCTTCTCGCGTCTCCCGCCGTGCCCCCCTCCCCCCGTCGCGCGTGGCCATGCCTGCGTTAACCCTCCCGTGCTCCGCGCCGCTCGCCCGCCTCTCCGCTCCGGTCACCGCCTCCCCCTCTCCCTCTCTCACGGCGCGCCTTCTCCCTTCTGTCCCGCCCCTCGCTCTTGGATCCCCGCCCGCGCTACGCTCCGCGCCTTGCCGCAATTCACGCTCCTCCTGTTGTGCCGCAGGCGAGGGTATGGCGACGGCGTCGCAATCGCCGCCTAATGCGGGCAGCACGCCACGTGTCATAAAGCTGGAGGCGATCCCGCTGACCCGCGAGGCGTTCGCGCCGTTCGGAGAGGTGGTGGAGCCCGCGGAGGACGGCGTCGCGTTCGGCGCGGCGGACGCCGCCCTCGACCTCTCGCAGGGCGCGCCCAGGTGGGCGCGTGGGGGGGGGAGGGGGGGGGGGGAAGTGGCGGGGACGAGGGGCCGAGGTGGGGAGCGCGGAGGAGAATTTGAGGCGCTGGCGGAGAGGCGGAAAACAGGAATGCGATGCAAGAGTGGGAGGGGATGGGCAGTGCGGTGCGCGTCACTCTAGGCGCGCTGATGGGCAGGCGATGCAGTAGCGAGCGGGGGCGTGGCGAGGGCCCCAGGCAGCCGCGTGCGCGAGCGCCAGTAGCGGGGCTGCTATGATGGGCAAGGCGCGCTGCATAGCGCCATCCCACGAGTATCCACCCCCTCCTCCTCCTGCGCGCCCACGTGAGGGCACGCGTGGCACCCTCGCATTGCCCCAGACACTCCTTTGCCACTCAAACACTTTCTTGCCTCTCCTGCCCCTTTCCCCTCCCCCTTCCCCCCGCCCGCTCCCCCAGGGTGTACATAATGCGGCTGCGGGATCGGAAGCTGGGATTCAACAGTATCACTCACCACGCGCGCGTGACGCAGTGCCTGGGCGCCGTGGGCGGGCAGCCGTGGTTCCTGGGCGTGGCGCCGCCCTCCCTCGTGCATGGAGATGAGGACGGCCGTGAGGGTGGCGCTGATGGGTAAGGGGCGCGGGTGTGTCAGTGGCGGGTGGTGGGGAGTGCGACGGGTGTTGCAGTGCGAGCAGAGGTGGTGAGAGGCATGGACGGAGAGGCAAGTGGAGGTCCAGTGGTGGGTGCTGGCTGTGTGTGTGTGTCTCAGCTCTGCTGTTCCTCTCTGCCCCCTTGGGATTGCCTCCACCTCATGCTCGCCGTCCCTCATGGCCCCCCTCCCACCCTTCCCCAACCCCCACGCTTCCCACTGTGCTCGCCCCCTTGTGCACACTGTGTCGCACCAACCACGTATCCACCACACACCATCCTTGCCCCTCGTCGCCCCCGAGTGCACTGGCCCTCGCCTCCGTTTCTCCCTCCCTCCCTCCCCCCTCCTTCCCACGGCGGGCAGCAGGGCGGTGGAGCAAGGGGCGGCGGGGCAGAGGTACCGGCCCCCAGAGGTGGGGGCAGTGAGGGTGTTCCGCATGGAGGGCGCGGTGGTGGTGAAGCTGCACGCGGGCACGTGGCACGCCGGGCCGCTCTTCACACAGCCCTGCATGGACTTCTTTAACCTCGAACTGCACGACACCAACGTGCGCGGGGGAGGGGCGATGGAAAGGGGGGGAAGGGGGGGGGGAGGGGGGCGAATGGGGGGGAAGGGGGGTGAAGGGGTGGTGGGGGAGCCGGGAGGGGTTCGTGCGGGCACGTGGCATGCAGGGCCAATCTTCACCACGCCCGCCATGGGCTTCTCCAACCTTGAACTGCATGGCACCAACGTGCGCGGGGGAGGGGGTGGTGGGGGAGTGGCAAGGGGTGGTGGGGAGTGTGGAAGGGTTAGTGTAGACACCTCGTTCATGCACCTGCTGTTCTCCGTCTCCCACCCTATGCACCTCATACACATGCATGGCCCTGCCCTTGCTTCGCGTGTGTGCCGCTTGTGTGTCTCCCAGCCTAACCTTCACATGACTCATGTTTTCTGCAACTGTCTGTTGGCCATCCCCTGTACACACTTGCACTGCCCTGCACCCCCTTGCTCCCCCCTGCACTCCCTTGCACCCCCATGACCCCCAGGTGGTGGACCACACAACGCACAGCTTTGCAGACAGCAACGGCGTGGTGTTTGAATTTGACGATGCACGATCGTGACACGCTTGTGACAGATGGTCTGCTTTCGCTTGTGACGGATGGTCTGCTTGCACCCACTCTATGTGCAGCGTCTGTCGCACATCACTGTAGACCAGGCCCAGGGCCTCAGATTTGAAGTACGGTACCCTGAACCATCAGTGTAGATGTGAGAAAAAAGGTTGATTGACAACCTTCTTAAAAAAAAAGGCCTGAATTTTCAGGGTTACTAAAAAACAAAGCCTGATTTCTACACGAACATATTAAGATTATCAATGCAATGCAAGCATTTATGAAACATGATCTTCCACGTCGGTGCAGGCCCTCGGATTCACTTTTGTTGGAAACAATTAATTCTAAGCGCCTCTGTCGTGTCGAAACACCAAGTCGTGCGCGCTGTCCCTTCGCCCCCACAGCTTCATGAGTGGTACTTTCAGCGGGGGGGGGGGGGGGGTCACGGGGTTCTGCTCGCTGCCCGTACGTCATTCGCACTGGTGCTCGGACTGGCCAGCCTTGCGGGACGTTTGGTCACACAGAGTCCCGCTGCTTCGCCAGTCTGAGCGACGCCTGGCGTACGGAGTTTGGCGACGCGGCTGAGCTCCCCGACTGGGTGGAGCTGCTCCGGCAGAGGGTAGATATCTATGCTCTTGACTTTGATGCTATCCTCACTGCCATGTATGCATTGTCTACTAGTGATGTCGGTGACTGTTCCCTGAGTGCTCCGCCCGACCCGGGCGGTGCAGCTGCTGCTCTAGGTGCTAGTGAGTCTGCTACTCCAGGTGCTAGTGAGTCTGCTGCTCCAGGTGCTAGTGAGTCTGCTGCTCCAGGTACTGGTGAGTCTGCTCTCTCAGGTACCACGTCTGCTCCGGCGTCGCACACTTTCACCCTTGACTCGGGTGCTTCCCGCTCCTTCTTTCGAGACCGCACCACTCTTACGCCGCTCAGTCGGCCGGTTGCGGTCTCCCTGGCAGACCCCTCTGGGGGTCCTGTTCTTGCCCACTACTCCACTGTACTACCGTGTCCAGCGGTCCCGTCTGGCTCCCTGTCGGGTCTTTACCTCCCCTCGTTCTCTACGAACTTGGTGGCAGGTGCTGACCTACAGGATGGGGGGGTTGACCAGTTCACCCCTGCGCGTCAGCGGGTGACCCACTGCACGTGTGCGGACACGGGCCGACACTTGGCCACGTTTACCCGTCGGCCGGGGTCGAGCCTGTACACCCTCACTACCGAGTCTCCTCCGGTTGCTGTGCCTGGTCAGGTAGCTGCGTCGGGTCAGGTGTTTGCTGCGGCGTCTCGGTCTGGTCCTGAGTCTGCCCCCTGCTCGTGTCGCCTCCTGTCCCACGAGACTCTTCTCCTGCGTCGAGGGGCGGCAGCGCGCCGCTCCTCACTCCTCCGAGTTTCCGCCGACAGAGGCTCCGCTGCAGACTCTTCACATGGACGTGTGGGGCCCAGCCCGCATCCGTGGACAGGGTCACGAGCGCTACTTCCTGCTGGTGGTTGACGACTACTCGCGTTACACCACAGTCTTCCCCTTGCGTCGCAAGGATGAGGTCACTGAGGTGTTGATCGACTGGATCCGCGCTGCTCGTCTCCAGCTCAGGAAGAGTTTCCGCTCGGACTTTCCTGTTTTGCGTCTGCACTCAGACAGAGGTGGGGAGTTTTCCTCCGGCCCTCTGCGAGCCTTCTGTCGTGCGAGGGGCATCCGCCAGACGTTCACGCTTCCGGCCTCTCCACAGCAAAATGGGATTGCTGAGCGCCGCATTGGCATGGTCATGGATGTCGCTCGTACGTCCATGATCCATGCGGCTGCTCCCCATTTTCTGTGGCCGTTTGCGGTTCAGTACGCGGCGCGTCAGATCAACCTTCAGCCCCGGGTCTCCATGCCGGGGACCTCCCCCACTCTGTTGTGGACGGGGAAGGTTGGCGATGCGTCTGCGTTCCGTGTCTGGGGATCTCGGGCTTTTGTCCGAGACTTGTCTGCGGACAAGATGTCCTCCCGTGCTATTCCCTGCGTCTTCCTTGGCTTCCCCCCTGACGCGCCTGGTTGGCAGTTTTACCATCCCACCTCGCGCCGTGTTCTGTCCTCCCAGGACGTCACGTTTGACGAGTCGGTTCCGTACTACCGTCTCTTCCCCTACCGCGCTGCCCCTCTTCCCCCCCCGCCGCTCTTCCTTACGCCAGGTCCCCCCCCGGTAGACCCCCTCCCCCCTCAGGGTCCTGCTCCTTCAGGTGTGTCTCAGGTAGACCCCCCCCCCTTGGCTGAGCCTTTGGAGGTCACTTCCGACACCTCTGGCCCACCTGAGGGGGGTGACGCTGTTGCTGACGCCCCGGCGGCCTACCGCCGCGCACCACGCTTGGAGACCCCTCCGGGGTTCCCTCCGCGACCTTCTTCGCCGCCTCTGCAGCCGGTTCCTGTTGACTCTGGTGCTGTTGGGGGTGGTGCTCCTGGAGGTGCTGCGTCTGGGGGTGCGGAGTCTGGGGGTGCTGAGCCTGCGCGTGAGGAGACTGGAGGTCCTGCGCCTGGGGGTGCTGTGTCTGGGGGTACTGAGCCTGTGTGTGCGGAGTCTGGGGGTGCTGAGTCTGGAGGTGAGACGCTTGAGGGTACTGGGACTGCTGGTGCGCGGCCTACTTGGAGTGGCCGCCTTCGTCCGCGTGTGCCTCTCACCACTCAGCAGCTGCACGACTGGTACGGTCGCCGTCAGCGTCGCGCTGCTGGAGGTACTGGAGCTGCTGGGGCTGGGGGTGCTGCGTCTGGAGGTGCCGTTACTGGAGACACTGAGGCTGGCGACCCTGGGACTGGAGGTGCTGGTTCTGGGGGTGCTGCTGCGGGAGACGCTGCGGTTGGAGACCCTGGGACTGGAGGTGCTGGTTCTGGGGGTGCTGCTGCGGGAGACAGTGCGGTTGGAGACCCTGGGACCGGAGGTGCTGGTTCTGGGGGTGCTGCTACGGGAGACACTGCGGTTGGAGACCCTGGGACTGCAGGTGCCGGTTCTGGGGGTGCGGCTGCTGGTGACGCTGGTTCTGGAGCTGCTGGCGCTGGAGGTACCGGTTCTGCGGCTGGAGCTTCTGGAGCTGCTGGAGCTGCTGGAGGCGCTGGAGCTGCTGGAGGTGCTGGAGCTGCTGGAGCTGCTGGTACTGGTGCAGCTGCGCCGACACGACTGTTCTTCGCTCCGCCGTCTCCGTCGTCTCTGCCGCCGCCTGACTCTGCTCTTCGTCAGGTTGTTACTCTCCCGTCGTCTACTGGTCTTCCATTACAGCCTGGCTCACCGCTACCTGCTCCCTCTCCTTACACTGAGCAGACAGGCAGTCCTGCTACGCGTCGTGAGCCTGCGTCGCGTCCTGTCTCGCCTGTTCGTTCTGGTCGTACCGTTCGTCGTGTCGCTCGTGCGCGTCAGCCGGCTGTCCCCAGCGCACACCTTGTTGTCCGTCGTCCTTCCTCTGCTCCGCAGCCTGTTCCTTTGCCGTCTCCCCCTGCGTCCTCTCTGCCTGCCGTTCCGGACCCTGAGTCTGACCGGTTTCGTACTGAGCACCCTACTGTCACGCGTCTCCTAGCCACTGTTGTCACTGACCCGTCGTTTGAGTCTACTGCTGCGTCTGCCTTGGTCGCTGAGCTTGTTGACTTTGCTGCTGCCTGTCGTCTAGACTACGCCGCTAGTCTTGTTGCTGAGTCTGAGTCTATCTGTCCTCCGCCCGTCGGGGGTGAGTGTGCTCTTAGCACGGACGTCCTTGAGGACAGGCAGGAGGAGTTCCAGTGTCTTGCTGCTGCTTTACCTCATCTTGTGTCCTCGCTACTTGCCCCTGAGGGAGACCCGGATGCACCAGACATCCCGACTCCGCGTTCTTACGCGGAGGCGATAGAGGGTCCCTACTCCTCTCAGTGGCAGGCAGCCATGGACGCAGAGATGGCTTCCTGGAAGTTCACAGGCACCTACGTTGACGAGGTTCCCCCACCTGGGGCGAACATCGTCAATGGCATGTGGATTTTCAGGGTGAAGCGGCCGCCGGGTTCTCCGCCTGTCTTCAAGGCGCGTTACGTGGCTCGAGGCTTCAGTCAGCGGCAGGGAGTTGACTACTTTCAGACCTTCTCTCCCACCCCGAAGATGACTACTCTTCGGGTGCTGCTACACATAGCCGCTCACCGTGACTACGAGCTTCACTCTCTGGACTTCAGCACAGCCTTCTTACAGGGCAGCCTGCACGAGGAGATCTGGCTGCGCCGCCCACCTGGCTTCACTGGGACGTTTCCTCCTGGCACCCAGTGGAGCCTCCGGCGGCCAGTCTACGGTCTCCGCCAGGCGCCGCGTGAGTGGCACGACACACTGAGGGACTACGCTTGCGGCTCTTGGGTTTGCTCCTTCTACTGCAGACCCGTCGCTGTTTCTACGCACCGACACCTCCTTGCCGCCGTTCTACATCCTCGTGTACGTCGACGACTTGGTCTTTGCTACAGCTGACACTGCTGGACTCGCCCACGTGAAGTCCGAGCTGCAGAAGCGACACACGTGCACAGACCTAGGTGAACTGCGCAGCTATCTTGGCTTGCAGATCACTCGGGACAGAGCACGCCGCACCATTACCCTGACTCAGTCACACATGGTGCAGCAGGTCCTTCAGCGCTTCGACTTCACGTACTCCTCGCCTCAGGCCACTCCTCTGTCTACTCGCCACTCGCTCTCAGCTCTGCCTTCGGATGAGTCCGTAGAGCCGAGTGGCCCATACCCAGAGCTTGTTGGCTGCCTCATGTACCTGATGACCTGCACTCGACCTGACCTGGCCTACCCTCTTAGCATCCTGGCACGCTATGTTGCTCCTGGGAGACACCGACCAGAGCACATGGCTGCAGCGAAGAGGGTTTTGCGCTACTTGTGCAGTACGTCGGGCATGGGGCTCGTGCTTGGAGGGCGGAGTCGAGTGGTCCTCACTGGTCACGCAGACGCGTCTTGGGTCGACGACCTGGCTACGCAGCGGTCGTCACAGGGTTACACCTTCAGCCTTGGTTCCGGCTCTGTTTCGTGGCGGTCCAC